TTTCGTGCTGTTTATTGCGATTATTTTACAAACTACAATATAATGATTCTAAGATGATGATGAGAATCGTTGAGATCTTGCAGTTCCATGGTGGTTGCCATGTGGTCTTGGCACGCACTATTTCTAGTAGTTAGAGGTCGTAAATTTCCGGATCCAATTAATGCAGTGCGCATGGTGGTAAATTACTATACCGAGAAGTGAGGGATCGTTAATCTCTTGGCACTTCTTCGTGTAGTGCCTCGTAGTGATGCGCCAATACTTGGCGTCTCCAATCAAAGCGCCTCTAGCTTGGACATCTTTAATTAGAGAGAGAGAGAGAGAGAGTAGTCTATCTCATGGTGTCCCAACAAAGAGTGAGCCTTGATTGAAACGTCCTTGCTTTAACTATCCAAATGACAATATGGCTAGATTCGACAACAGAGTGTGCGATTGAGTACCGTTAGATTTTAATTTTTAGGTGTAACGACTATTTCTAGATGTCCAGATATCAAATTACAGATATTTAAGAACTTGTGAAGGATTCTCGCAATTTCGAACAGCATATTTTTATGTATTTGAAATTTGCAAAAACATATACAAAACATACGCAAAGGTTTTAAACGATCGATTTCACTCGTTTTTAAGGGAATGTTTAGATATCCATACATAAAACTTTCATTTTTTTTCAATATATTATTTAGTTCGTTTAACTGTAAATCTTTTATTATAATGTACCTTCGGTACTTCCAGCAATTTATTTTCAAAAGATACCATACCGCAACAAAAAACCCACAAATGTATCGTACTAAGATAATATAAAAACTACTACTGCACCAGTCTTAAGAAGGTGAAATCTAGATCTCAATTAGTATATACATTCTTTTTGAACTATAAATTATAAAGAGTAATATTCAGAAACGTCAAATTCTTAATATAGAGAAAATTCTGTTGTTATTACTTAGATAAAGAATACTGCATTCTCAGTGGTAAATGACAAATATATTCCATTATTAAATTACAAATATATTTCCGAATAATGAACTAATTATAAAGAAAATTTCCAGCTTGGTCACACATACAATAGCATACATAAAAAATAATTTTTTACTTCAAAAAGATTGTAAGCGTTTATATTAAAAAAATAACAAAATATCAAATATACCTGGTATTGATATAAGAAGAGCTGTAGCTCGCCATAATGCACAGTGATGCTCATTCTCGTCTCGATTACGACATGCTCGCCAGAGTTCATCAACTAATCGATTTACGACCATATTAATACTTTCTTTATCACTAGAATGCTGTTCCTTGCGCAGTGTTTCGCCGCGTACAAGATTTAACATTCCAGCAACTTCACCTGCATACCAAGAACGAGTTGTCATCATTGAAAATAGCCAGGAACTAGCACCCTTCGCTCGAGATTGTTTATCCAATGAGTTAGTCTTAATATTTAATAAATTTAAGGTATTATACAATAATGATGTATAATTATTATTTTATATTTACTTACTGTAGAGAGTCCAAGACCGAGACCTGGTCCAGATAAGTCAACCAATTCAAGAACTGAATCTGTTGCAAGAGATAAACCCGAATGGTGTTCTTTACCTGAAGATTGAAACTGTCTTATATATTCTTGTAAATGTGATTTAGTTGCTTGGGGAGCCCACGTCATAGCTGCTTGCACAATTTCTTTACATCTTTTAGTAAAATCTTTAACGATGCTCTGAAATTGGTTGGAGATCAGTCCATTAAAGAAACAAATTCTTTTAATAATTTTAAATAAATTTTTGTTTTATATTTCAATTTGTTATTATAATATTTATTGTTATAATATATTGATATTACTTATTAAGTTTCAATATTGTCGTTAGCATTTTTAATTTAATAAATCATGAAATAAATATAAAAGACATAATATATGTAAATATTGCACCCTTGAAATAATGAAATACTATGTATTTCCACACTTTTCCTATTTTCATTGGGTTCAAAGGATTTCAATTTTTAAAAACTTTTCTATAAATGCTATCTTATTTGCGGTTTTTTAAAACTTTATTTTAATTTATTTTTCCGGCATAATTATTCAATAAAAGTATTAATTCTTTTAATTATGTGAAAATATTATATACATAATTGAGCTTTATCTTATCAGTTTTCTTGAAACATAAAAGTTTCTGCTTTACTATTGTTCGATTTTAAGGTTTAGTTTATGGCTCGAACTACCGATTCAATAGTTCAGTGGATTAGTCACTCGGCAGGATAAATTCAAAGGAAATAATAATTGACAAGGCTGAAAAATATTATGTATTTAGTAAAACAAGGTTTATTATTTGTAAATGATTATAATAATATTGCACTATTGTGTAGAGAGAGATAATTCTATTGAAGTAATGAGGGTGTGTTCTTGTATTCTTGATTATTGTAGCTTCCACGGATATGACTGAGTATCTTGAAGTTGAGGTAATGGTGATGTAAATATCAGCTGGTGTAGTCAATCAATCATGCTTATGAGGTAGCATGAGAAGATGGTGTTTGAATCAAGTATGATTGATGTATGATTAACTATACTTGATATGGTGTAAGATGTTGAATGGAATTTATTAAGTAATCAATTATGTCTTTAATTATTTATGGGGACAATAGATGAATCTAGTCACAGGTAAGGGTGGTTAATGGTAAGATTTTGAGCTCTTGAAGGATTTGATAATCTATAATTATAGTCTATTAGTCGATCTGTTGCTGTCCTTCCTTGACAACGTGCGTAAATCACAATGACACTTGTGTCAGCTGTTGACGGACTGTACGATGTCGAGGGATTAGTTCGAGAGAGTATAAGTGTACCCGATTTGTTCTTGTGCGAGATGTGACTAATTCATTTATTAATATAAAAAGATGTACCTTGTGAGCTGCAGGCAAGGTGTATTAGTTGCTGCGTAATTGATGTCCCCTTTGATTACTATTCCAATTGGCTTCCCTGTAATCAGCACTAAATCTGCCGATTTCCTTTATTAATGCACATGTGTATTATTAACGTTAATACTGAATATATGGCCACGTGTTGTCTTCACAGTATACTGAAACACTGAGCGGCAATTACACTTGAGTAGGCACGAAGTGAGATTACAATGAGCCTTGTGAATACGCGCACGAACCGAAGGCTTGACCGTTCCGTGACGGCTCTGCTGAAAATACCGGACGTTCCATGGCGGTCCTACTGAGTCCAGATCAAGACCCGTGTGCCATGGCTTCTACTGGTAGATGATTAAATCTGTTCACTATGGTCACTGCGGTCGAGTCACGGCAAGATGTTAGCCGCAAGCGCAGTTGAGCGAGGGTGGTTCGGCAAGAGAGTCAGCTAGCAACCAAGAAGCTTTCAGCAAGAGAGATTTTCAACGAGAGCGCGAGGCGTCCCTTATATAGCCACGCGGCGGCTCACTGAGCTGACAACAAAGCATCGTCGTTGTTGCACAAATTATTACAAGAGGTGTAGAAAGAAAAATCTAGAACCTTCGAGAATGTTCGACAAGAGAAAAGTAGCCGCAATAGCCTTGTGTGATCTTATAGTATATTAGATTACATGTCGTAAAACGTGCTCGGACTTGCCGAGTTTTGTTTATAAACATTCACCCAAGTGCGCGTCCCAGTCAAGAACACAGAGATTTACCACAAAGATTTACGACTTCACACTTCTCTGTGCAAATATCCATCACCAAGTAGACCACGTAAAGGGGATCCGGAGATTTACGACCTCCTAGCTTTACAAGTAGTGCATGCTGAAACCACGTGGCAACAACCAAGGAACGGCAAGATCTCAACGATTCTCATCAAAAACGTAGAATCATTATAGTGTAGTAGTAAAATAAAAGATAATAACAAGCACAAACAGTAAATGTGTTGAATACTGAATTGAAGCACTACATCTTCCATTTATCCACGTTTTTCTCCCACCAATGAACTGCTGGGCACAGTCTAATCCTAATCATCTTCGTTCAACGACTTAAAAAAACGGAACTCTAAACATTATTTTTATCCTTTCAGCTAGAATAATAAAATATTAAGTCTTAAGTCTATCTTATGGTCTTTCACATTAAAATGAAGCGAGAGCAGATCAAAGTCGGTATCTCACCCGCCATTACGAGAAGGGCTATTCAATTTATGTAAAATAAAATTGTAAATCTTGAAATTCCGAAACAGATTCAAACATTTATAATAAAGTATTTCTTAAATTAGTTACGTTTTTTTGTTAATACAGCAGCAATTTGAATATTTATTACATTGACGTTTAATTATTCAAAAGTAATATTTAAGGGCAGTAAATATACACCAATTAATTAAATAAACTTATTAAATACATAATGAACAAAATTTTAAATTATAACAATCAATTTCCAGAACTTAAAATCAGAACAGAATTCTTCCAGAGAATGTGGATCATACATGTAAACGTTTATTGATATATTAAAATTTATGTGGACATCTTAGAATTATACTGATTATGATTAAAACATGTAATCTCAATAAACATTGAAACTAAAATTATTTAAAAATAATGCAGTATTATATATTTAACGGTATGTAATCCATTAAATCTATTGATAATTCTAGTGTTAGAATGCTAACAAATACAAGAAAACTCTAAATTTTATAAACACGAATGTGCACTTGTGATGGCTACAACTTTTATTGTTATATACTTCAATATAGTTTCGTTTCACACATAAGACCGAATTTTTAACGAAGTCCGGTAATCGAAAAGCTTGTATGAAAATATATGAAGGATATTTTTAATTTTTAAATATCTCCCACTGTAATTTTGGGTTTATAAAAATATGTTAATAAGCGAAAGCAAAATTCATATTATTTGATCCGCCATCAATACCTAAGAATAAATAAATTAACAAATATTTGAGAAATATTTTTCCAGAAATTTTTCAATTTCATATTGTAAAAATAATCTAAATTTTATTTTCAATATAAGGATTCGATGTATGTGTAAATAATTCTGACTTTTTCTTTATTAGAATATCAAAACGTTTCCTTGATAGTTTAAATTTTTTTGGCGGAATACTTCACGTTTTCTATGCACCTGAATTAGAGTTACAATCTGAAACAAGGCAAAAAATATACCAACGTCAAGTAGATATCAGTTATAGAACCAGAAAACATAAAAATGATCCAACTAATCCCGATATAGAACCATTTATTTCAAAGTAAGTGAATAAAACAATTGATAATGTATTTATCAGTAAAAGTGATTTATAATTGAAGTATTTCTTTTCCTTATACTTAAAATGTAAACATCTTAATATTGTAAACAAATTTTTTTAATATTTTTTATTAATAAAAACTTCTATAATTAAACATCCAATGTATTTTTCAATAAAATTTTGATAGAAATCTTGTCATATTGTAATAAAAGATATTTATCGAATAGAATCGTATAGAAAAATACAATTTAAGAGTACATTCACTAATTAAATAAATATAAGTAAAAATTTAGCACTAATTATTTAAATAATATTAAAGTAGAATTTTTAATTTCAGCTCATCCTTGTAATAAATAAAATATTATAAATAAAGTTTTAAGCATTTAAAATTAATTTGGAAGCAAGTTTAAAAAAAATGGTATCTACATTATCTTCTTGAAAATTTATACATAATTATTTAATGTCATATATTATATGTTATTGTAAGATAAATAAATAAATTTATGATTCTCCATGTATTTACTATATATATGTACCTAAGTTTTTCTTTTTATTTCTTTCTAGCACATTAATAAAGATAACAAGCCTTCGAACATAACTTTATCTTTTCATTACCTCTGTGTATATTCATGCAATTCACAAATGTAAAAAATCTCCTAATCCGAATTTGTTAATATCTATGTATTGTATTTTATTAAGTCATGAGTTATTAAGTATTGATCAAAGTAAGTCTTCACTTCCCATTATTATATAAATAGCCAACTTACCTGAATTTATCCGTATTAAGATTAGTTGTAATAATTATGGTCTATAGTTATTAAACATATATTGTGATACATCATTTTAACTACAAATGTGTTTGAACGTATAATTACAATTTATATAATAATAACAAATATCAGTATTTTTATATATATTCTACAAGAGCGACCTTATGTACGTGTTTTCATACTTTTTTATAATCTGAACGTTAGAAACATTTTTTTGAAGAATATTAATTGGCAAAACAATAATATGTCTTATTCGGAATAAAATAATTTAACCTTTGAGTTTCAAGAATCATAAAATTCCACATTAAAGAGTTAAACTGTCATTTATAATTCAAGCTTTTAATATGAAAGTATTTAAACAGTATTTCTAAATTTTATAGTTTATTTTTTAGAAGTTGGTTATAATTTTTTTAATTATAATTATTGTAGTTATAATAGTTTAGATTTTATTAGTATGACTAACTTTATAAATTATGTTATCTATGTTAAAATCATTAAAAATGATCAAACGTAGTATTTAGTATATTAAATTGAGCCAGGGCTTTCAATTTACCGTTTCTATTTTTTTCAACAATTTGATTTTCATATTTAATTTTAATTTGCATATAAGTTATATCATTTCCATATTTTTTGTATATATTGGAAAAATAACACTTATAATAAATATAAATTTAATGAATTAATTATTTAAGTTTAAAATAATTGCTAGTTTCTTAAATAGAATATAACAATTATTTTTAAATATATTTTCATGTATAAATAGTTGAATATGATAGTGCTACTCAAATAATTGTTTATTTAGTATGAATATCATGTTTTTCTCAAAACAAATATGTTTTTTATTTTATTAATTTTTATTTGATAAGATACTTGTTGAAAAGAAATGATCATTCAGAAAAATAATTGTAAATAATTAGCGTTGCTACGGATTTCAGTAGTTTCTAAGCAAAATGAAAAGTGAGAGAGGTATGAGCGCGCGAGCATTTGTTTAGTAAAAACTGACTAACGAATTCAAAGAATGCTTATAACAGAAAAACTCGAATATACTACTATAATTATAATATATAATACTATGCCCTGTTTACGTCACGACAAATATCGGCATAGCAACGATCACCTATGCAATTTCAACGCAGCTGTTTATACGAGAATATTTAAGGAGCTGCACATGACGGTCTCATACTCTTACTAGTTCAATCAAGCAATCATCAAGATCAAATTATTGTTCTACAAGTCAACGCCATTTACACAGAAATCGCCTTCAATTCACACAAATCGCTTTCTTACAAGTCAAATACCACTTATATAGAGGTCACATCCAATACACAACGATCTATCTCCACACACGTAAGCTACGCTATTACACACGTCCTTACGTACCATCAATACAACTGAGATTGACTCCACACACGTAAGCTACGCTATTACACTCGTTCTTACGAATCACTAACACACGACTCCGTGAACTAAGTAAGCAGCAATACCAAAATCACGGCATCATTGCCATTCATCGGTGACATCATACACCAACGCCCCACTCAAGCCTCTCCAACTCATCGGTAGCGGCAAGGGCGGCATCAATTCTTCTCACCAGTGACGTTACACACCAACGCCACCACCCAGGTCTCTCCAGCGTATCGGTAGCGGCAATCGGTGGCGTCAATCACGCACCATACCACAAGAATACACTTATAAGATTATCATCACTCACGTTACCTGAAGAAACTCTCGCCTATTTATTCTATCATACACTCATTCGATATTCATAGATTATTAATTATTCATTATTTATTAAATTCAATAAAAGGGAAAATCAACTCATATAAAGGCAGTATTGAATTATTGCATTGCCTATTCCACTTGCCAGCAAGCCTCCCTTCACCATCTCCGGGAAGCGTTTTTAGTCTGATCTCAGACAAGCGTTATTGCTGATTTTTATTTGAAGACTTGGTTAAAAGACGTAAACTAGTCCCTTATATAATGAATTTCGCTTGTATATATGAATGATTACAAACGCTTCAAACTTATTGCTTTATATTTATATATTATCATATATTTTTATAATTTTTATATTACTATGTTTAAAATTTACTAATTCAATGATCAGGTACTGAGCTTACATATTAGATGTATCATATACAAAGCTTTATATTTGGTTGTTCGATTATGAAGGATTTGTTTTATGGCTCCAACTGCCAATTCAATAGTCCAGCGGGTTAGTCTCTCGGCATGATAACATAGAAGGAAATAATAAATGGAAGGGCTGAAAAATATTACGTATTATGTATTTTTAGTAAAAACAATGTTTATTGTTTGTTAAATATTATAAGAATATAGCACTGTTGTTGAGAGAGAGAATTATTCTATTGTAGTAGTGAGGTTGTTTCCTTGAGTTCTTGATTATTGTAGATGCTGTAAAAATTACTGTGTATCTTTAGAGTTGAGGTTATGCTGATATAAAAATTAGACTGTGTTGTCGATCACGCTCATGAAAGAGCATGAGAAGATGGTGTTTGAAATCAAGTATGCTTGTTAGAAAGAATGATCATACTTGATAAAATGTAAAAATCTTGATGGAAATTGGTGTGTAATTAATTATATTTTAATTATAATGGGAGCAGTTGAAATCTAGTCACACGCAAGAATGATAAATGACAAGCCTTCGAGCTTTGAAGGACTTGATGAAAATGCATTTATAGTCGATTATTCGATAAATTGTTGTCTGGCCTTGACAATGTAATTGACGTATTGTGTCACTTGTGTCGACTGTTTGAGGGGCTGTACGGTGTTTAAAGTGTTAGTTCGAGAGAGCGTACTGTTTTCTTATTGACTCTTTAAAAGCAGTTTCTGAAGCTTGATTTAGCGCGTGTCTGACTAACTTATTTTATAATATAAGGAGATGTACCTTGTAAACTGCCGACAAGGTATGATGAATTACCGCGTGGCTGTGTGTCCCTTTTGATTACTATTCCAATTGGCTTCACTGTAAAATCATTACCTAATCTTGCTGATTTCTTTTTAATAATGCACGTGTATTTTTAAGTAGGTTGCCGTATATGCTGCCACGTGTCGTCATCACAGTATATACTAAAATACTGAGCGGTAATAACAGTTAAGTGAGCGCGAGGTAGAATTACAATGAGCGTCGCCGCATGCCGAGCTGCCCTTAAATGTACATGCAGCAGGATGCAACGCCGGCAACAGTGCCGCAGCTTATCGCTATGCCGAAAACTTTTTTGTGGCCTTAGAAAATGAAGCTTCTAGAGGTTTCGTAGGCATTCGTCTGTGACCTTATAGTATATTGAATTTCATATCGTAGAACATGCTCGGACTTGTCGAGTTGTGTTTATTAAGTATCACCCGAATGCCGTTCGAGCTCGCGTGTGCCCTTGTTCGAGAGTGAAAAGAAAATCTCTCGAATTATATTTACTAGAAAAACTTTCAACAGCTGATAAAAGAGTATTATCGAATGGATACAATAAACTAAGAAAGTTTAGCCAAGGTTGTATGAGACTCGAAAAGGTATGTACATCTGTGAATTCGTAAACAGCCATTTATTGTCTTTTGTACTAAAGACGTAGTTTTATTTTAATTGTTTTGAATGCAATGAAGACCCTTGCGACTTATCATAAAAACCCGGCTAGCCAGTTTACGCGAGAATATTTTGAGGCGTAAGATATTTGAAAACAATCGAGTGAAAAACATTTCTTAAAATCCATTGCAATCCGAAACTCGGTACGTGCGACGTTCGGCAATCTGCGTCGCACGTGTGCCTTCAATGCCACCAGCAACCATGCATTGTTGTCAAGTACGACAAATGTTGCTGCTTGCATAGGCCAAGCGAAGGTGACCAAAAATTACCCCCACCACGATGAGTCCCGGAGAGGGGCAAATCTTTCACTTCACGCAATGCCGCCAAAGATACTCTTTCGATATTCTCATTGAATAAGCCTAATTTCGTAGGAAGTGGGAAAAGGGCGTGCATATTCATCATGCCGCCGAAAAGCAGCGCGCCCTGATTGGAAAACTAAGACCAGAAGCTCCTTGAGTGGGGACTCATGGCAAGAGGCCTTAAAGATAGGAACAAGGCAGTGAAAAGTAGCTGTCCGCGGGGGACAATTGGAACACGCTGTCCGTGTGGGCAGCCAAAGGCTGTGGACATCCACGTACTGTCCGCAGAGACAAGTCAAGAAAAGGTTCGAGTGGGCAGTCTAGGGCTATCTTAAGAAAAAGTCAAGTAATAAAAATTAATTGTCTGTAGAAGCTAAGTCTAAAGATCAATTAACGCAGAAATAAATGTTAGTAATCAGATCAAGCCTGCTGCATCCTTGTGAGTATAAGAGTCTCGCCGCACGCATTTGCTCTGCCGCGTGCAATTGTGTCCAACTCACCGCTGGATCAAATGAAGATTATTGCATCCTTGTGAGTATAAGAGTCACGCCGCACATATTCGCTCTGCCGCATGCAATTGTGACCAACTCATTCGTGGATCAGATTTAAACTACGATATCGCTGTGAGTACGCTAATATACTTTATCTATTCAATTATTGTCAGCCGACGGCGCATCTCACACTCTCTGACAAGAAGTGTGCAGTAATTATTTATCTGTGCAATTTTCATCAATTCAACGATTTCAAAGCATCTTGTGTAGTGATTCATCCTATATAAGAAGCCGTTCAAGAAATCATATCTTCATATAAGATTTAAGAAGATTCTACAACACCCATATGTAAATTGTGTAATAAATTGTATAATAAATGTACAATTAACCAACTCTCACGACTCTTGTACAGCCCCTACATCTGACTCCTTCCCGAGCGTCTGCTAGGGCGGACGGCAAACTAAGCTATTGAAGTATTGGCAGTTCGAGCCAAGAATTACATCAATGTAATTTCGAACAGCCCTTATTTGTCTTAAATTCGTGGAAACTGCATCAATCCTGAACAATGGTACATGACAATGTATGCTTAATAATAATTGACTAACAGTCATTACAATCCACTACTTTCTGCACAGGGTAATAGTATAAACCAAACTATGTTACTAGTTTTACAATATTATCGCACAATTAATAATCTCTACATACTCTACATATTTTAAATAAGTTTTTAGATTATCTCCGTTGTTCATTAGAACATGTCTGGGATCAGATTAAAAAACCTCCTTTAGATGTTGAGTGAAGGTGTTGCTGGCAAGTGAAGGGACAGTGAAATTATTCAAGACTACTTTTAATGTTTATCGTTGTTTGTTTTGTTAAAAATATAATAATAATAAATAATTAATTGTGAAGTATATAAATGATATAATAGATTAAATATAAAGTTTCCTTTTATTGTTACGTATTATGAATGTATTTCTTCCTTTGTTGTATAATTAGTAAAAGCTATCTTAACATACATTAAATTGTTGATAATAGTGGTATGGTTGATGCCGCGCCTTTATTACATCGGTCGTATCTATGAGGTATGGTTGATGCCGAGCCTTTATATCGGTCTTATCTGTAATATGTTTCAATATTATTATGCTTGATTCCGCGCCTTTATTACGTCGGTCTTATCTTATGTATACATTGCTTCAATATATTATATGTTTAACTATTGTTTTATGGTCACTAATACGTTATTCATAATTTAGAATAAATGTCACTATTTCTTTCTTAGATTATTACGTATGTATGCCGTTAAACTGTGGTCACTGTAGAGAAAGCTTGATGATGTATAGTGCATTTGTTATAATGATTGTGTAATTGTTACCAGAATGAGGCAAACTGAGGAAGGCTGTGTGAAGCGTAGCCCTTAAATATTATCGCACTATTTCACAAACGCTGATGTTTGTTACCATGACGAAATTAGTCGTGACTTCAACAGGGCATAGCCTGGAACGTTCGTTGCTAGTATTTTGTTTAAATAACTGAATTACTCATTCATACCTCTCCCACTTTCGACTTTCAAGTTTTTAATCCGTAACAGAACAAAACAGACAGATTGTACACTAAAGATATAAGTATAATTATTGAAATGCGTCTTAATCCATTCTTAAATTCTTTTAAAAAATTATATCTGACACTTCCTTTTAATATAAGTTATAATTGAATGACTTTATAGTCGTTTTTACAGTGCTTTACGTTTAGATGTTTGTGAGATATCGTCAAATGATTCGATGAATTCTAATTTGTTGCCTAATAGCTTTAATTCCCTTCTAGTACAAATTAAATATTTATATTCTAATTATCTTAAACTTTATATACCTTAATTATTAAATGTAATTAAAAATTAATTATAAAACAGTAATACCATTCTTTTTTAAGTTATGTTAGCCACCAGAGTTAAAGATCGCTATATTTTAATACGCCTTCTACTGACTTGAACATTACGCTCAAGGTTACATACTCTAGTTAGAATGCGTTTACTTCTTTTACCAAACCTATATGAAATCCATTCCTACTTCACTTTTCTCATGGTTTTAACTTATTCGTACTTGTAACGTTTCCAATTCAACATTCAAAAAACGAATTTATTATAAAGAATTCAAAATTAAAAAATCTATTCTTTTAAAATACTATTAATATTACCTTTTAATCGATCTTTCATTTATCTTGTTAATTATTTAATACAATAATAATATAGTCTTACCATTTTGTGTATCACATTTATATTTATATACATATATACAAATTTGGGTATATATGTAAGTTTGAAATATATAAAATTAAAAATGTCTAATTTTTTTGTATAGCATTACATATTCTATGTTGATTTTAAATTGTCTATCATGAGAATTAATTTTTATTTCAATTTATAATTTTTAATAACTGTAATTGGAAATTTGAAACTCTAGTATCGTTATATATAGATTTTATTAGTTAGAAATGCATGCTATTTGTTAGATTTAAAAATAGCTACATAGCAAAATTTTATTTGTACATTATTTATATGTATATTTTTAATACTAAATTTTGGAAAACTTAAATACCATTTACCATTTATTATTAAATTACAATTATTGACCATTATTATTAACTAGATTAAACGATAAACTGAAAAGGCAAACAATCTGTATATATCTGTATATTTATTTATTAGTTTTGTAAATATATATATATAAATATTAATATTCATAATTTTATTCTAACAGTTATCTATACTTTATATTCATATTTTTTATAATTTTATTAAATTATTTAAACTGAAAATAGTCTAAAAAACTTACTATTTCTAACCATAATTAATAAAGATCAGCTTCTGATATGAATAATGGTTGTTGGAAAATACTTATGTAAATCATGTGATCGCTTTACATGCTACTTCAAAATTTCGTTGGATGTTATTATTTTATACCATATAAATATATCGATTAAGACAATGGATTATTTAATATATTCTAATTTTCTACAAATCTTATACAAATAACTATTAATAATTATGTATTTTTAAACCTGATTACCTTTATATCTACTTTATCATCCAAATAACTCTGTTTTAAAGAAATTGAATGGTTTTAATAATAAATAAAATTTATTGTATATTGTTAATTAATAAGAAATTATATATTCAATCAAATATATTTAATTTTCTATAGTATTTGAATTAATATTGGTATAAATGAATGAAAATATTAAATTTATTAAAATCTATACTCTAATCAAATTTTACTTGTATATCTATTTTGTTTTAAAAACTGCATTATATATGTGTCATAAATTATATTTAATTTTGATATGGAGTTAATTTAAATTCAATAAAAATTATTTAATAAGAAAACTGTGGAATATAACATTAAAAAACTTGTTCATAAATTTTTATACCACATATAATTTTAATTGGAAATTTGAAATATGGTTTAAATTGCTTCAATTAGTAATTTCAGTTAAAATTTTAATTAGAGTATAGATTTTTTATTTTGTTTAAATGTAGTAAAAAGTTATAAACTATTCAATTAGATATTTCATATGTCATGTAATTATTATTATCATTTATATAATATGTAAATTTCTAATCATCTGATTGAATATGCATTTTTAGTAAATGACTATAGATTAGAATTTTGTAGTATTTAATCTTATTAAATTTTTCCCATTGATTATTTTCAATGTAATAACTGTTACGATGTAGACATTCTTTTCTATTTATATAAAGCTACTATATTGATCTTCTCGGTATATATATTCTTTGAAATCATAGTTATAATATTCAATGTTCCTAGTTATATTTTTTAGCTTTTAAATTCGCAAAGCACTATATATTTTTTATATATATTTAATTTAAAAATATATGTTTCATTTCTTATTATAATTAGTTCTATAAAGTTTTATGTACTAATTTTTCACTCAAATCATTACGAAAGTATACAAAATTTTGTGAGAGAGTTTACAAAATTAACGTATTTGCATTCCAAAATTAATCGTATAATTCTCATGTTAACGGATATAATCATTTTAGATAACGAACTATAGTTGTTTGCAAGTAGAAAAAGATAGGGAATATATATTTCTTAACTTTTTGAAAATAACTTATAAAACTTCATATTGAATTAAAAGTATGTTTGCAATTCCTCTAAAATAAAATTTTGTTTGAATATATATATATCGAAACATTATACTATGTTAATATTTAACAAAATTTTATATATAATATTGTAATGAATTTTTAATATGTTTTATTATATTAATTTCAAAATACATAAAAATAAATATTTTCATAAGTTAAAACACTAGATAAAATACAAAATTCATATTGTTGAACTTACTAAATCAATAATGTTAGGCTTGTACTAACGCGGGAAAATAGTATATTTTCTGCTATATATATATAGTTTTTGTTTGTCTTGTATAGATGATTTGACAGTAATATATTAGGATTTTTTATAAATTGTGTAAAAATAAATAAAATAATTGATTTTCGTATAATTACAAAAATTTATCGATTATTGATTAATTAAAAAGTTTTTATACTTAATATGAATTTAATGGAAGATCCAAATTTCAAAACAAAATATCATAAACATAAAATTCGTGTTAAACTTTGGGAGAGTGACTTCATGGAGAAATTTGGGCGTAAACCAAATAAAGTGAGATTTATCATGAGAATTATCATGTACATATAAATTTATAATATTTTACTTATATTAAAGCTTTTTTTTTCTTCAGAATGATATTAAAGTAGCCGATATGACAATTCGTGAGGCATATAAAATGTATTGGAAATTAAAAACTAAAGCTCTAGAAGAAACATTAACTGATATTACTTTTTGCAAAGATACAGTGGATAATATCTCATCCGATTATAGTTTTTCAAAATCAATGCAACATCCGAAACCTCAAGAAGTACAACAAAAAAATATACTAATTGACTCTAAATCTGTAGAATTAGTAAATAATCATGCAAATAATTGTTTATCTGAAATTACAAGCATTTCAAGCTATGTAACAAACAAGACAAATATGGAAAACCCTTTAGATCATATTGCTTTAAAACAAAATTGTATTAAAAAAAATCAAACTGTCTTTATGGAAAGGTCTTCTTCGTTTCAATTATCACAAAATATGTGTAAATCACTCACATTTTCAAAACGAAACCCTAGGAAATCCTTTTCTTTTTCAAAATTTAATGCACAACAACTTGAATTAGATTTATTTTCCAATCAGACAATAAAATCAAAAATAAATAAAGATTATACAGTTCAAGATGTATTAAACTCTACCTTAAATAGTGATCTTAAAATAATTTTTGATGATAAAAATATACCTAAGCAATCAACTATTCAAAATTTAATTGAAACATGTACAGTATATAATAAACAATTAAATTCAGCCTGGTTAAAAAGATGTCTTTCAAATAATTCTTTTAAAAGTAGTATATCAGAAATTGATAAATTATCTCAAAATAATGTTTTTAAATCAGGATCCTTAAATTACATTCAGCCATCTAAAGAAAATTTTTTAACACATTCTATGTTGAACAATCAGTCATTCACAGATGATGAAGATTATATTTGTAACAGTGATTCAGAAGAAGATCGTAAAAATAAACGTATTCGAAATTTAAAAAAAATTGTTTATGATAATGGTTTAGAACCAGCTAAAAAATTATGTAAAACAAATGATATTTATCAAAGAACTAACGATACCAGTAAAATTTTGCAAAATTCTACGACCGATATTAATAAAATTAGATTTTTAAATGATCATTCAACTACGTTAAATTATAAAAATATATATTCTATTAATGACAATGAATTTTCAAAACTAAATAATCGAGGCACAGCAATGAAACTAAAAGAACCAACACAAAAATCTACATCAACGAATATATCACAAAAGTTTTTAAAGAAAGATTGTTTTAATAAAATTGTATGTGAGAATATTGATATAATCAAAGACAACATGAAAAATACAATGAATCAAATGGTTATAAAAGATATAACAGGTTTTTCATCAGTACTTAATCCATTAAATTATCAAACAAAGAATTTTTCAATAAATCTTAGGTCAAATAATAAAAGAAAATCAAAACAAAGTATATCTACAGAAAAACTGAATGAAAATTTCGTTAAACTAAATCTAAAAAAAAAAAAATTTGTTCATGGCAAAAAGGTATTTAACATATCAAAATATAAAAAGAATCAGTGGAAAGAAAAAAAGAAAGAAAGAAATTTTTATGAAACTAATGTGAATATATCAGATTCGATATTTGTAAATAATAATCTTTTATGTTATAAATGTGGTGAATCAGGCCATTTTTCTAGAGATTGTAAAAATTTAAATGATTGTTTATCACAAAATGCAACCACAGATATTTCTGTTTACCCAACATTAAAAGAATTTGAAGATTTGACAAAATTAAATGCAGTTAAAATTTGTCATCAATCTGTTACAGCTATGCAATGTGACAACATGACAACTATAAAATCAAATATAATAGTTCATTCTGGAGATTGGAAAAATAATCAAAACTTATATATGTTAGAGAAAGTAAGTTTTTATTTAAATATAGAAATATTCATATGAGAAATTAATGAAAATATTAAAATTTAATTTTTATTAAAGCCAAAATTAGTTATTACCAATGTTCATGAAAATATCCTGAAAAAGACTTGGGAAATAAATCCATTATATGAATTGGAGTCGGATTATTGTCTCAAAGGTAAACATTGTTTATTAATCTGAAATGAATTCCATCGCATAAGTATCGCTTATAATATATCACTATTGATAAACTCTTATTTTATATTTTAACTAATTGTATTTAAATTATTTTAATTAATCTAATTTTAAGATTAGATTAAATAGTAGCATTACTAGTTCCAATGTTATATAAAATTTTATTAAATAAATTTATAAATATTTCTGATATCAAATAACAATATTTGAAATAGTCCATGAGTTATAAAGCTATTTTTATAAACAGAATAGTTTAATTTTCTACTTAATAAAACTATCGATTATATTAAGTTTTAACAAAAATTGAATATTTTCAAATATATGATTATGAAAAATTATGAAATTTTTTTTTAATTTAGAATAATTATAAAATATTAAATTGTATCTTATTTTAAGATTTAATTATTCTTTTTTAAACATCAATAGTCCATATTTTAAATAATAATAATATTACTAAAATTGAAAATAATATACACATGTTTTATACAAGAATCAATATGAACTTCTTTAAATAAAATAAGACATTTTAAAATTTTTCCATTCCTATGGATATATAAATATACATTTAAAATTCTAAACTTTTAAATATTTTTAATATTACATAAAAGTTTATGTATGTACCTAGACTTTAAATTGAAAATTATTTTTAAGTTATATCTTATCTAATTTATGGTATAAATAATTTTGTTAATGCACTAACTTTTAAGAACTATTGGAATAATCATTTTTTATTCTCATTATACAAAGACTAAAACTGAAACTATATTACATTTATAGCTAAAAACATAAAACTAAAGCTAGTTTAAAACTTAATGTACTATTCAAAGACAAAAATTTGTATGCAATAACTATTAACAAATTTATAGTTTTCAATAAAAAAAAATTATATATTTGTATACATAGATATAAAACAAAAACAAAACATCAACGAAAGTTGAAATACTCATTTTGCTCTAAATATATGATTTATTAATTTTATAATTTAAAATCAATTCTTTTTTTCAGTAATTAAATATTGTACTATGAATATTATTAAAGTATGTATACATCTTCATATACACTATCATATATACTTAATTAGTCAATTTTATGTAGTTAAGGATTTTTTATTCCACTATTAATAGACGATGACTGAAATAACTATTCGCAAAATGTATTTTAAAGTGAGTTGATATATTATTTGAGTTTTTATTAAAAAATAACTTTTATGTAATTAAATGTATTTTAGACCTAAAATAATATAAGTAAAAATAATTTTTTATTGGTTCATAAAATTACTATGACTTTCCTCATACTCAGTACATATAATGTTTGCATTGTAATCGTAATAATATTAATAGTTAGAAATTCTTAAATTTTGATTTTTTATTTGTGTTGAGAGATTAGTTATATAAGGAACATACATATAATTGATGTGTTTATAAGATTAAATTAAAATTTTTGCAATTTTCCTTCTTTGTACACTAACTTTAAAACGTATAAATTATGTATAGTCAAATAGCAAACAGTCATTATGATTTCGAGTTATATTATCAAGTTGATCATGATTTAATATTATAATTAAGTATGAATTTAAACAATATAGTTTTAATTCATTCTTAATTGGCGTTTTACGCCAGTTAGTAACAGGAGGGCTATTTATTCCATGAACTTAAAGGAATATGCAAAGAAAATATGAACCCCGTAAATTTAATTATATATTTAAATTATATTATATTATATTATATTATATTATAATTTAAATGTTGACTAATGCAAATCAAAATTTAATTAATTTCTTTTGTGTTATATACTTGAAAATAAGAGTTTTAAAAATACATTATTTATAAATCTTTTTAAACATAAATAACTATTTTTTATATTAAGGAATAATTGAATTTTAATTAAAATACAATGCATAATGAATACTAAGTCTTCCATACATATACATTTACTTAAATCACCTTTTAATTTATTTTTACTGTATCTTTATTATGTTTGTTTCATATTTTTGTCATTGTAACTACTGGTCTTGATATGATTTTTATTTTATTATACAAAATAGATTGTATTATTAGGCCTACAATACTTTATAATTTAAAATTCTATTTATAATGTATTTATTTATGTTATTACATATATGTAACTTATTGATATATTTTATAATCAATTTTTATGCAGTGGTTTACTATACTTGTGCAATTATTAATGTTTTATATAAAAATAGAAATTTGATAAACACTTGTTTAAACAAAATATATAATTTAATTAGGTGGTAAGTGTTATTAAATTAAACTAGAGTTAACTTGAGTTAATTTATATTATTGAGGTACTTTTAATTTTTATATCTTTGTAATTAAAATATTACTTAAGCCATTCAATAGCTTAAAAATAGCATAATTATTAAATTATATTAAATTTAATACATTATACTTATTTAATTAATTAATTTCGTTAATTTTATATAACTTAAATAAATATATAAAAATTATTCCTCAATTACTTATATTACAGATACACCTCTAGAAGTTTTGATAGCCTTAAAAAAATTTGGTTACAACGAATTTCGTGAAGGGCAGGAGAAGGCAATAATGAGAATTTTATCAGGACAATCGACCCTTGTCGTTTTGCCTACTGGCTTGGGGAAATCCTTATGTTATCAATTACCAGCTTACATGTATGCTAAAAAGTATACATGCATAACATTAGTTATTTCTCCATTAATATCTTTAATGAATGATCAAGTATCTAGAATGCCAAATTTTTTACAAGCAGCCTGTTTACATACTAATCAGAGTTCAAAAGAACAAGAAAAAGTGTTAGAAAATTTAAAAAAAAGAAAACTCAATATTTTACTAATTTCACCGGAATTCATAATTAGTGGAGAAAAATTAAATAGTCTTAGAAATATAAAGCATTCGTTACCTCCGATTGCTTTTGCTTGTATAGATGAAGTACATTGTATTTCACAGTGGTCTCACAATTTTCGTCCATCTTATTTAACAGTCTGTAAAGTGTTAAAAGAGCAATTAGGAGTTGAAGTAACATTAGGTTTAACAGCAACAGCAAGCAATACTACAGTTATGAATATTATACATTTTTTGAATATTAAAGATGGAATAGCTGGTGTTGTATTAGAACGATCGCTACCTTCGAACTTATGTTTAACGATTTCTCAAGATCAACACAAAGAGGAAGCTTTATTCAAATTTTTACAAAGTGAAAAGCTGAAAAAGTGCAAATCTATTATTATATACTGTATACGTCGCGAAGAATGTACTAGGGTAGCTAAATTTCTTCGTATGTCATTATCTAATTTTACATTAAAGCAATTCAACTCAAAAACTAAAATTTCATCAGTCGTAGAAGTTTATCATGCCGGCCTTTCATCTTATCGACGAAAAATTATTCAAATAGCATTTATGAAATCTGAAATACGTATAATAGTAGCAACTATAGCTTTTGGTATGGGTCTTAATAAATCTAACATTAATGCTGTTATTCATTTCAATATGCCAGCGAGTTTTGAAGGATATGTACAAGAAATTGGTCGAGCTGGTAGAGATGGTTCTTTAGCTTATTGTCACTTATTTTTAAATCCGAAGGTGATTGTAAAGTTAATTAATCTTTAAATTAATATATTATATTTAATTTTATAATTTCAAAATATATATTTTTTTTGTCACATTTTAGAAAAATTTAGATGAATACGAATTGTGTCGTCATATAAATGCCAATGGAATAGATAGGTATACAATTAGACGTTTACTTCAAAGAATATTTATACCATGTAGTTGTATCAATTCTTATACAGAGTTGCGTTGCAAAGGGCATGAGATTGGTTTTTCCATAGATGAAACTGTAAAGCTTTTAGATATATCAGAAGAAATAATAACTACACTCTTATGTTATCTTGAGCTACATCCAAAACATTTCATTAAGTTGTTGCCTCCATCACTTATTAATACTGAGATTTATAGTCATAAAGGGTCTAATCTACTTGAAGTGGCTGCACAATCTGTAAATTAGTTTAATTATATTTTATTTTTTAATTAAATTAAAAATTACATTATTTTTATAAACATTTATAATTTTTAGTCACAAACATTAACAATGGCTCTAGCTTTATTAAAAAAGAATGGAACTTATAATGAAAATAGTTCTACTGTTAAATTTTCAGTAATTGATGTTGCTGCAGCAATCGGATTGGATAGTGATGAACTGAAAAGTCAAATAAAAAAATTAGAATGGACCACTGGTAAATGAAAATTTATTGATATAATTATTTAATTAAAATATTTACAGTCACTATATACTGAGTTTTATATTTTGTTAGAAAATAATAAAACTAAAAGATCATCAATATCTGTTCAATTCAATACACGAGGTTTTCGAGTTATAGCTTCTGGTGATTTAAGTAATGATGAATTGGAAGAAGCTCTTGAATCATTAAGTCAACAAAATCAATTACATAGTACAATCAGCTTGCAAAGACTTAAATCTATTAATTCAACAATGCGAAAATACAGTTTTACGTCAATAGAAGAGTGTATTCATCTAAATCAAGAAACCCAATTAAGATCTGAAGAAATAAAAAATACTATACGTAAACATTTTGAATTTAACGAATCTACAACAGATATTTCTGATACTTTAGAGGCAAGTATTATTCATAACTTAATAAACGTTAAATGATTATTATAGTCTGGAAATGATAATGTAAAATTGACTGTTTAAATCTACGCGCACGTGAACATATATTTTGTTACAAATTAAACGTTACTGTAACGCGAAATATATTTTCATAAGTATAGAAGTGTAAATAGATTGATTATTTAGTCTCTTGTTAAATATATCGTTGTCGATTGTATATATTCAATAATCGAATCAAAACGAATTCGAAATGTTACACAATCTTTGTAAGTAGTTGTATGCTATTTATTATTATTATGAGAGATCAAAATGAAAATGTAGAAAATGAGTAGTCACTATTGTCTACTCACTTTTTATTCATTTATGTTCATTATGCTCAGTTTTATTTTTTATTAAGAATGTGTTTACAACAATTAATCAACGTAAAGTTATTATGTACGAATCTTGAAAAGAAAGGAAAGTAATTTAGTGTTCTTCATACATCTTATTTCTATATATACATATATGTAAAAGAGAATATTCTTTTCTTAAATCAATAATTAAATTATTGATTTAATACCCTATCTTAGTAATCTACAATATGAGTAATAAAAGGAACAATAAGCAAATGAATTATAAATTTAGAATTTGTTACAGTATATAGAAGTATACATATTTATATTTATTTTTTATTTTTTTTTTTTAATTAAAAATAAGTATATATCTAGAAATATATATATATATATCTGTTTATTGTATTTCAGATTGATCTACAAAATGAAGATCATATTGTGGCAGACATACGTAATTTAATTTTAAGTTATAAAGATGTTAGCTTTACAGGTAGAAGTGTCGCACGTATTTTTCATGGAATTCAAAGCCCAAATTATTCTGCTATTATTTGGTCTAGATGTCGATTTTGGAGATCTCATGTTACTGAAGATTTCAATGTAATATGTCAATTAGCTAAAAGAGAAATATTAAAATATAAAAAAATGTAAAATATTCTCATTTTCAGTAACAACTTTTCATAATATATCAACATTTACGTAAGATTATTATCACACACATATATATATAAATTATTTATTAAAATTTTCGTTTAAAAATGTAGAAAATTATATATATATATATATATATATATGTATAAGATCTCTATTTAAACGCTTACTTTAAATTTATAATTAAAGTATATATATATATATATATATATATATGTATATGTATAAGTATGGGAAAAAAGATAAATAAATCATTTATTATAGTAATATAGGAAATACTAAACTATCACAATACTTTTTTGTAATATAACTGTAAACAAATATTCCATAATTCTTAATTGATACGAAGATTCTTGATATCTTTATTATATTCACTTAAATAAAAATGTTTACGTAAAGGATAAGACCATTATTAATTGCTCTGATATTGACATAAATTGTTTTGTATTCGAATGAAGAAAAAAATATTAAAGAATTATGCACATAGAAATTAATAAATGGTGCAATAGTTTTACAAAATTTAAAGAATTGAAAGTTAGAAATATACTTTTATCATTTCTATCTGTAACTAATCTTATAATAATTTTTTTGTGTTAATTCAGAACACTTTTTCCAAACGATTTCGAATTTTGCAGTATACTAATTCTTTTTTATATATTATATTTTAGATATGTAACATAAATGTAGTAATAATGTACAATATTTATTGAAAATATTAATTTATATATTCAATTTAATTGTTGTAATTTTTGTTTGATACTTTTATGCTTTAACTTTTCAAATATTTTATTTATTATATTTAAATGATCACTTATAACTTATTATTTTAGAACATCATGTACTAAAAACATATTTAATTAATTAAATTTATGAAATAGTTCTACCATATATTATTGTCTACAATATATCTTATTATAGAAGTCATGAAACAATTTTTTTTATTTATTTATGCAGAATTAACTAATATAGTTTTGTGTATCACAAACTGCAAGTCTGTACTGTCGAATAATTAAAGATACTCGAATAATATATATGTTATTGTTCGAGATTCCGAGAATTTCTCGAATGTTATTATTTCTGGAAAAATCCCAACGGTTATAATTTAGGTCTGTTCGAGAATGCGAGAACATTTTTTCCTTTTTGTCAGTGCAATAAAACATCTGGCAAGTAATATCATAAAATTTGTATTTGGATTTCAAACTTCGCTTGTTCAAATTTTCTCACGCATTTGTGTCATAAAACATCTAGAAAAACAATACCATAAACACGGAAAAACCTATAGTTTTGACATCTGCATTTTCGTTTCCCTCGGCAACTACATCAAGCATTACTGCAAGCGGACCCTCCTTTCCCTTCCCGCTGTCGACAAGTTGCAATTCTGTCACCAGATGTGTCAGCGAACCCCTCCTCTCCGCTGCCAACATGCTATCGCATGCGGCAGCGGCAATGAGAGATCTGCGCATCATGAAGACCCAGAGACGACTAGGCCCTTAATTAACTCCGAAGCAAAAGAGGCGCTGCCCTCGCACTATAAGGGAGGAGTCTCTGATTGGACAGAAAATAAGGGAAGGGATTCAAGTAAAATTCATGGTCAGCAAATGTATTTAAGGGGCGCAATTTTCAATACTCATTTACTCTCGATACTTAACTCTCTTAATCCTTATCACTCGTGACGATATCTTTCAATCATAAAGCCGCATTCATAACCTCAATCATACACGTGCTCGTTCAAAAGGCGTTAGTGTCGATGAACGAAACTTCGCGCCATTCGCCATTCATATTCAATAATCAAGCTGCATAGATTATTGTACAGTTGTCTTCGCAACACATCACTTCAATCAAGAATTTAGTTCTACAAGTAATATTAGTAATACTAGTCAGTCTTGTCATTAATAACTAATAGAATAAAAAGCATATACTTCAGCCATATCTTTATTGTATTATTATAATATCCCTTCCACTTGTGACCTATCATTGCTACCACACAACACCCGTGGTCTCTGAGTTGTCAACGGCATCAAATTGTATCCGTCGAACCGGCCTTGATAAAACAAGTCGGAACGACGAGGTGCATTTTGTACAAGGCCGTTAGATTCTGAAAAGCCGGTACATCCGAACTGATACAAGTGTATAATTGCGCCCATTGCTTCTAGCACCATGATCGTCTCCATTGTTATCTAGCAAAGCTGCTGCGTGAATATTTAAGGCAAGTGCACCACGAAGCGCATTAGTAGATTTTGAGTCATTGACGCAATCAGTCATGCTATTCATCCATGACTAGTTGGTCAGCAAGCTACTCACCACAACAGAAGAAAGGGGCTCTTATTTACTGGCTATATAATAATGATCAAGCTGTAAGTAAGACCAAGACGCCAAGAAGTAAAGCTCTTACTGGTGATACAATGATCAAGCTGTAAGTAACACCAAGATACAAAGAAAACACGTCAATTCTCCTGTGCTGCAATTAAAAGAAGTTGACACTATCTCCTTCATATCAAGAAAATGCCAGACTATCCAAAACATACTCCCGAATACGCAGCGTGCATAATCATTGCTGATTCTTGCAAAATCAGCAACAACTCATCACCACCGACAAGGAGCATTCTTGATAGTGAACTACTCATCATAGGACAAGGTCAAGACTAATGTATTTCTGTGAGTAAAACAAGTCTAAGGCACATAAGTATTGCTAGGCCTTACAAGACTAGCATGACGCTATTATTAATAATAAAAAACACTAATAAGGAGTGTGCATAATCAGTTGCTAATTGTTACAAGATAAACCATTCACCAGAGGAACAGGTCCAAGCAACTGCATCTTCGTAATTGAACATAGGATACACCTTTCCACCGCATAACTCCAACAAATCTATAATGTAATTGTAAATAAACCATAATAAACAATATTTATGGAAGAATTACACACTGTATTCCTACAGCCCTTCCACTTGACTCCCTCCTATACATGTGCTACGGCGGGCGGCAATTATTATAAAGATATCCAAACATTAGCAGTTCGAACACAATTCTATTCAAGCTATAATTACTGTAGTAGAAATAGATGGCTATTATTTAAATATTTCTCAATATTTTAATTTCTCCGATATTATATTATAATGTTTAAGGTAATCAAAGATATAAAACTCAAAATTGTAAAATATTTTCTTCGCCTTGTACCTATTACTTTATCTTTTATTGATTTTTTACATTCATTAATGATTGTTTAATATTTTTGAAAAATGCGGGTTATGCAAATTAAATATAAATAATATATTTTTTATTACATCATGTGATTATAATTGAAAAAAAATAATAATAATAACATCGACACTTCAACATTAGTTTAAAATTTAATGTCTGCTATTGCAGATTTTCCGTTTGTTAGATATATAATTAAAAATATTTGGCTGTATCGATTACGACATAAGATACAATTTATTGTTAATAATACTGTGATCAAATGAACTTATCTTTATAATTAAATGTATCCATCGTGATCCTATAAACGTTTATTATATTGTATTATATATCTTATACATTATTTGTTATTAAATATAACAAAAATTCAATATAATACATTCATGAACTATTCTTAAATATTTATCATAATTACTTCGTTAAAATATTTACAATAAGAATGTAATATTAAGTTTTGAAATGTTCAAAAGTTCATTCTGAAATTATTATTATTATATACTGTACTATTGTAAGCTAATAGATTCTAATCATAGCGTACCATATATCAACGATTAAAACTTTTTTATTGTAAATTTTTAATATTATTAAATGTTTGTTATTGTGAATGAATAAGATACTAAATGGCGTATTTTTCTTATGTTAAAACAAATATTAAATTATATCTATTATGATTTACTCTAATCATCTAATAATAATATTTTTAGTATTAAAATTAAAATATTTCGAAACTTTTAACATTATGTTTAAAATATATGCGCTAAGTATGTATTTATTATATATATATATATATATATATATATATATATATATATATATATACTACGATTATATATTTATGATTCATAGATTTTGTTCAAAATTGCGATAACCCTTCCCAAGTTATTAGGCTTCTGAAAACCCAGTTTATTAGACATCTGGAAGTAGTCCTAATACCCAAAAATAAAAATCTAATGGTACTGTCGCTTGGATAGACAAACAAGGACGCTTCAACCAGCGCTCTCTTAGTGGGAACGCCACGAGTAGACTACTCTCTCTCTCTCTTTTTCTCTAATTTGAAGTAGCACCTGGTACGGGCGCTCCAAGTAGAGACGTCGAAGCTAGACGCGCTCTGATTAGAGACGCCGTGGTCAGCGGAATACATTAAGAGAAACGACCACAAGACTTCCTCACTCTCCAGTGGGTCGTGAGGGAAGAAGGAAACACTCTCAGAAGTCAGTGTGCGTCTAGCACGAAGCAGTCACAAACCTTTCCAATACTAGTGCACCTAGCACAAAGCCGTCGCCGGCCTTCCTCATCCGTCCACACCACAAGACATCAAGTGAAGACTAGCAATCAAGACACCACCACGTGGCACTACACTGAGAGATGTCCAGGGCTTACGACTTCTCACTTCTCAGTGTAGTAACCCATCACCAAGCGCACTGCATCAAGAGGATCCGAAGATTTATGACCTACCTCTGCATATAGTGCATGCTAACGCCACGTACCAACCACGACGATACTGCAAGATCTCAACGATTCTTATCTTTGTGTATAAACTGATTTTTATTTTCGCAGAGAATTTCCATAAGGATTCTTGATTTAGACATATTTTTAAAAGGATTGACATTTAACATTCCTTATAACAATGTTTTACCATCAAATATATTTTCGAAATTTAAAAGTATAAAAATATCTTATAAAAAAAGATCAATATTCATTAAAGTTTATATACTGAAATAATTTTTAAGATAAATTCAATTGCAAAGTTTATTTAAATAGAATTTTTAGTTTTGTGTACAAATATTGATAATAAATATAAATAGCATACGTGATTGAAATGAATTTTTTTTTATGAAACCAAGAATAAGGTTTACATTACATTTATATATTTATAATATATATGAAAAGTGTAAAATGTATTAATTTTATACAGTACAATTTAGATAAAAGCACATATATATGATGACTAATCATATGAATTAAAGTTTTATTATAATTAATGTTGATCTTTGAAATAATGAGTAATGATAATTACACCATTACTATAATAATTAAAACAAGCTAGTAATGATATTTATATATTAATAACAATGACTCTTATTTTTATGAAATTGCTTAATTCTAATTGATCTTATTGGTGTAGTAATTATCATTAATTCATTAAATATTAGTTAAATAATGAAATATAAAGTATACAGCCTTTTCAAATTATTCGCATGATTCATTTACCATAATTTATACAATTAGTTTTAATAAAAGTTTTATGTAGCACGAATATTATTTTACAGTTTCTCAATGTTTACTTGTTTTTTCTCTTAATTTTTTAAACAATAACGTTAATTAATTATAAGAAAAAATCGGGGCGGTTAAGACAAGATTTTTTTTAAATTAAGTAATTTATTGTATGTTTTCTTTAAAAATTCGAGAAATACTTAAAAAGTTAAAAGAAATATTTGGTTTGCTACTTTTAGAATTATAACCATACTCTGTTTCTAATTAAAGTTAAAAAGGATCTATTTGTTAAAATGCAATTTTTCAAAACTATATAAAATTATGCATGAAGTTCTTTTCAAAAGTAGATGCATAACTTCCTTCAATATTGTTTTAATGTAAAATTAGCTTATGATATACACTAATATAGTTGCAAATTTTACATACTTTTACAGATTTTTCTGTACCACTTTTAATATAAGAAACATAATTACGTCCAAATTAGTCTGCATGAATTATTATAACAGTTATTTATTTAAAACTATTTTAAAATGATTGATCTTCCACTCGTTCGGCATCAGTAGCTAAAGCTTTACATAGCGATTCCATACAAGATTTTGGAATTAGAGTACCAACAATTTTAAAACTGTCATCTGAAAATGATTAATATAGGTTTTAAATTTATATATCTTTATGTATCACAATTATAATATTAAGTAAAATTAATTTCTTTAAAGTAAATGTTAAGGTTTCAAATTTATATAAGGTAAATATATTTAATGAATAAAGGTGTAGTAATAATTTTTTTTTGTATTACTTTTTTATAGTATGAGAAGTTATTTTAAAACATTTGGTATATAATAATTGTTAATCTCGAGTTACGGATTGTTTTGAAATATACAAGTACTTATCAATGAAATCGTAATAAATTAAATAATTATAATTATTCAATAAAATTCAATTCCATATTCAATAAAACTGCTTTTTATTGAGTGTTTTGTTACAATTTCCTTTTTAATAAATCTTAATTCATTGAGATTTGTTATCAATTTTTTAAGAATTCCACAAAATTTTATTTTTTATTTAACCATTATATAAAATACTATATAGTAACAAAAAATGTTTATCCCCAAAAGTGTCAGACATTAGTTAAAGCATTAGGTTAAAATGAATTTTCAGAATAAATTTCATTGAATAACATAATATAATAATATATCTTAATTAATCATACAAAAGCATATAAATTATATAATATAATATATCAGAGGATATATAATACATAACAATTTTTAACAATTGATAATAAATGATATGTCAATGCCAATAAATACTGTAATATAGAAATAAACAGAATTTAAATACGATTTAACAGTATCCTCTTGATATAAGTACACTGATAACTATCGTATATGATTGAAATTGAAAAATTAAATAATACTTTTATTTATATAAATTGGAAAATTGTTCTCATAGTTTTTAGATTTTCTAAACATACTTAAGTATAATTTATTGTAATTATTATTACACATTTTTATTTACAGCTATTTCAAATATAACTATTATGCTCTTAGCTCTTCGATAATGAGTAACATTGGTTTACATTAAATGAAAAATTTATACCTTATTTATTGATTTTTGAATTCTTAATTAGCTCTTGCAAGTAATTATATATTGATACATATTTATATTTTAATTATAATAATTGGACATACGATTTCAGAAGCTATTTTTATTTTATATAAATTCTTCCTTTTGTTAATTCTGGTTTTTGTTTTGTGTTTATTTGATATTATCATATATTTATAAATGTAATATAATTTCTAAGCATACTTATATTGATTTATAACACAAATGTTTTTTTCACTATATTGATAGTTATGAATTATAGAAGATAAAAGTTTCTAAAAAATTAAAATATGTTAATTTTCTTAGTAATATTTAAAGGAATTTAATTTTTGAGCAAATTTAAAAATCTTAAAATTTTTTTTATTAATCACATGAGTTTTATAATATTGATCCCTCTTAATTTTTATCGCTTGCACTGAATGTTAAACTAATATAATTTCAATTTGTAGTCAAATATATTTTTTTTCCCTGTATTAAATATTGGTATAGCATATATATTTATGGCCATTATTTTTTTCTGTTTTAAATTTTATTTTGAAAATGACAGTATTAAAAGTATTTTAACGAAAAATATCAGTGTTTGAAATATATTTTATCAGATTGTTTCGAATGTTGCTTAAAAAAAAGTGTTACAATTTTTTATTAAATTTTATATAAAATAATAATAGAAACATGAAATGTTTGAAAATTTATATTGTATGAAATTAGAATATATGTAAGATTCCTATTTACTTATGGTAACAATTTTTATTATTTTATTGGTTTTCTTTTTTTTAGAAATCTCTATATCCGACTAAATTTATTAATTAAAATCTTTAACAGAAATTTTTAAATACAATTTTTATATAAATAATATATATATGTATATATGTATATATAAAAAATAATACCTGAAATAATTTAATTTATGGATTTAAAAATTTAAAGGTAAATTAATTTATCATAAAATATCGTATTAACTAGTATGAGTTAGCATTTACTTTTTTATTTGTTATTTAATATAAATTAATAAAAATAGTAGTGTACCAAATTTTTAATTTAACACAATTGAATATAAATATTTCGACATTTTATGCTTAAACCGTAGTAATTAGCTTATAAAAAGGTTATTTTAACTTATTAAAAGTAATACCAAGATTTGCTTAAATATTAGAAGCTGAAACAGTAAGAGTAATTATATATATTTTAAAATCAGTTTATCTTGAAAACTAAATACCTTTTCTCCTATCCATCCTATATCGGTTAAATTTTAGACATTCTACTAATTCTGTAAAATAAAATATTAGATGCTTACCAGTACGTAACCTTACAACTTGCATTTTTGAGTTGTGACCAATTCGTGTGGCTAAAATGCTTTCAACCCGACTCCACACACTAAGAACAGATCCAGCAAGTACATTATATGATCTACGTCTCAAACCAACTTCACAATCCATATTTAAGTTTACATTCTTACAATTTCCACGCCAGTAAGCATGAGAGCATGTATTTACAGATGCTTCGTATTGTTGCATCCAGTGTATTTCGGCATCTTCTAAAGAAACTTTTTTATATTTTTTTTCTAGTTCAACTATTGTTTCTTGACGCAGTTGTAATCCTGTATTTGGTCTATAAAGCATATAAAGTTGATCCTTTTTTCTTTCAGATTTTTTTTTTCCAGTTGAATGAACGGCTACTGCTAATATAGCAGTTTGTTTACCGTTACGAATTTGGTGACTTAAGTAAAAACCTTCACGTACATCTGTTAATTCAGCCCAACGTTCTGATGCTTCTGACCAAGTCATACCGCGTTCTACTTGTACAACATGCAATTCTGTAGGTGCAGTACCTGTTGCATGTTTACGAAGAAAGCGGAAAAGTCTTGTGCGACGAACACTTTCGCCTGATGCACCGAGGTCAAGTATACCCATATCAAAACGACCTGTTCTTTTTGCTTGGAAAATAATATCATGAAGTGTATCAGTAAAGTACTTAAAAAGACGATTTTGAAGATCGACGGGCATTCCAAGGATACGGTTTAAAAATTTTGAAATATTATTATAATCCTTGTCAAGCGATAGAATTCCAGGCGTACTTTCGCTATTGCAAATTATTCCAACGCCTACTAATGCATCTGCTACATCTTTGAAAAAATCACCAATATAATCCTGTGGTGGCGGTACAAGTGGTTTTTCATACCTGTAATGCAAAGTATACTATTAAATAAATATTATATATAAAGTATAATATTTAAAATTTTCAAATTTTAATTTATAAATATTTTATTTCATATAGTGATAATTATTACTTTTTTTACAAATAATATTATACTATTTTTATGAGTTTAATTAAATATGTAATAATGAACGATGCCAGTTGTTCTCAAAGTTAGATCAATTACAATTTATGTTCGACTTTGGTGAAAATAAATAAGTGTTTAACTATAAATATTACAGTTTTAGGCAATTTTTTAGACTAACATAAACCTTCTATTGAATTAAAATTGGGATTGTCGAAATTTCATAAAAGTACGATACATTAATCTGTATTTCACTTTTTTTAAAATATTTGAAATTCATAAAAACGGAAAGATACAGATGATTAGATCAATATTTTATGATTATTAACAAAAATATTATATACCCACTGTATTAACTTTCTAAAATACTGAGAATTAATCACTTAAACATATGTGGTATATGCTTTAAATGAATAAGCACTGTACTTTCTCTAATTCAAATCCTTTATACAAATGTAAGTATTCAAATGATACTGTTAAAGTTAATTTCTACGAAAATGCCAAAGCAAATTGCAAATAAAATAGAACCATTTAAACTTAAACAAACCATGTGACTTATAATCGTTTATTTACTTTCTTAATATATATTAATATTACATTATTATAATACACTATTATTTTACTGTAACATAAATTTATCGCTTACCCCATTATAGTCTTCATTGTAGCTTCGAGGGCTGCACGACCGTATTTATTGTCAATATTGAATTGGGAGAGATCACGTGTTTCGGTAGCACGTCGATCGCCATGTGTAAGAGCACCAAGACTTTCGAGTCTCTTGGCAACAATTGAAGCAAATCTTCTTTCACCTGCTAAATCCGAAATTAGAAAAATGTATTCTGGTGCATTAACTTGATTTGAGCGATGCGTCCTGCCAAACTGTTGAATTGCTCGATCAGCGCTCCAAGGTAATTCTAATGTTATATGAACACGACGCATTTGGTTTTTAGCTCGTCGATCACTTTGTAATGATATACCACTGCTTGCTGCTTCAGAAATTATTGCAACAGTTTTCTCACCATCCATGAATCTGATATTAAGTAAAATATTTTTTCTATAATAACTTATGCACAGGTTTTAAAAATCAAAACATTATATATAGTTTGATTATTGTTCAATAAATAGTTTGTAATTTTATTGTCATTCATACGGTAATATGAAACTATCCGATTTAATCATACATATATTTAAATTTAAAGCAAATGATAGAATAGTTTTTTAATATAAACAAATATTTTTAAAAAATAGCCCAAGCATAAATAAAAATAGATATTAATTTTTATATTATTCCATGCTTCAAATTCCATAAGATATCTAAACAATAATAAGGAAGTATTTTGATGTTTAGATAAATACATTGTAACATTTTATTCTTCAAGCACTATAATCACGCACTATATATTGTATATAGTTGTATATTTTACAGCTAATTATTATATATTAATGTTTACTTATTTTATCAAACTATCGATATGTAAAAATAAAATATAATGTAAGTAATGTAGATAAAATCAATTATTGATTAAAAAATATTCATTAAAATTTTGTATGTTTTAATATACAAAATTCTGTTTTTAATTAAAACACTTTCTGATTCACAACTTCAATTATCTAGAAAAAAAATGAACATTTGCTTTATTAGAATTAAAAATATAATTGTTGACGTCTATTATATCTTAATTTTTAAATTAATAAATGATATAAAAGTACGGATAGTACATTTTCTAATTTTTTAGCTATTGTTAAATATTAAAAAATTAAAATAAAGTATATTTTCTAATGTTGTAATTACTGTTAAATACTAAAAAATTTAATTACAATCCATTTTCTAATGTTTTAATTACTATTAAATACTATAAAATTATATATATATAAATAAAATTCTTTCATATACCATAAACTCAGTAAAATTTTATATTATTATTAAGATAAATTATTATTAGTTAATAATTTATTTTATGCGTGTAATTAGAGTAAACGATAAATTAATATAAATGTTTCAATTAGTTCATTCATTTAAAAATAGAGAAAAATTTAAAATCACAAGCAGAAAAGATGATTCTAAAAACCGCTGACACGATAGTATTAAAGCATGAAAAATCCGTAATCGTAGTGAAGGAAGAAAATAAAAAAATATGGTTGAACACAAAAAATAGCAAAATAAATTCACTTATACTGGTGAAAATGGTTAATAAATTGTAAATTCTATATTGTTAATAAAAATTGAAATATAAGAAATAAAAAATTTAAAACGAGAAACAAGAACATTAATTAATTAAACAGAATATTAAAAAAGTAATAAAATAAGTTATGCAAAGAAAAAAAAGGAAATAAATATAATAAATTATTATAAAATAAAAATTGTAAAATTTAGATGTAATGAAAAACAATTTAACAGTTATTTAAACTACAATAAACAAAAGTCGGTACTTTTAAATTAAATACAAGTAAAGTCAAACGAAAATTTGCTGTACACTAAGTTACGAAAACATATAATAAAGAATATAAATGAAACATTTATGTAAATTACATTATAAAAAAAAAGTTATATTGTAGAACAAAAGAATAGTAATAAGTTATAAAAAATATATAATTTCCATTCATAAAAGTATAGAAAGCGATCAATCAAAAATTACTAAATATAATTATGAAATTTTAAGATGGAAAATGTATTATAGAAAAAAAAATTTAACATTGATTAAATAAATAAAAAAAAATTTTAAATAATAATTTTAAACTTATTTAAACTTCTATACGAAATCGAAACGATTAATAGTTCTCTGAAAAACTTAGTTTGGGCAAGATCAAAATAAAATAATATTTATAAAATGGAGAAAATAAAGTAAATAAAAATAATAAAAATATAAATAACAATCAATAGAAATGAAGGAATTAAAATTTTCTTAAAAATCTATAAAAAATAAAGATGATGGAAACATTATTGGAATTTATAGACCTATTACATATATGCGAAATAGCATTGGAAGGAAAATTAAAGAATATAAATACTGAAATGGAACATAATAACATAAATACCAATATATAATTTCTGAATGAAAGTATAAGGGAAAAGAAATGGAAAATTTGGTAAAGGGAATCATATATTAAGAAAAAATCAGAGAGTAAAGTGCATTTGTTGCTAATGAATGTATAAAAGGAAAAAAAATATTTACTAAATATTATTTAAAAAGTAAATATCTATATATTTTTTAGATACAAGACACTAAGCAAAATTTTAGTATTATATAATAATTATTTAAATTAAAATGATTATAAGCAAGAAAAAGATTGTCTTTTTATGATGTGATTTCTACAAAGAACTTAATTATCAAACTTTATCTTGATTAAAAGACTAAAAATTGAAATAGATTAATTAATTTTATATTATTATTAAAAATATAAAAATACTTGAAAAGGAATAAAATATTCAAATAAATAATGCACATAGAAAATAATTTAATATTTGATAAAAAATAATTGAGAGAAATAAAAAGAAATTTTTTTAATATTGAAAATACATTTACTTTATGTATAGTAGAAAAAACTGTTTTTAAAAGAATTTATAAGTCATTAATGAAAATCTTAAATTATAAAAAAATTAATGGAACTATATAATCATTTATCAAATTATATTAAATCAAAGATACTAACACTTATCATGGAAGAATGATTTAATTGTGCATATTAATTATTACTAATAATGTAATCATTATACTGTTATTAATATTATGAAATGACAATTAAAAGAAATATTTTCAACTCAATAGTCAATATATAGTGCAAATATACATTTTTTATATTTATAATACAATAAAAATTACAATAGATTTGTTAAAAATATAGTGAATTAGGGTATTAATTATTAAAGAATTTATAACGATATTAACTTTGGTAAAAATGGTTTTGAATATCATTAGTAAATATTCTTCATAACATGTTACAATTACATTGAAAATAAATAGCTGACTAAAAACATTTCAAATATTGTCGGTATTTTTAGATTATTAGATTATACATTTCAATAAATTTTTAAATAAATATAATATAGGACATTACTACGAATAAATGAAATAAAGTGAAATAATATTGTTATTTTAGTAAATATCATATAATCAAATATTTAAACCGTACATGTTTTTACTCTATCTACAAAATTACTATAAATTATTATATTTTATGCCCAATAAGATATTAGACACTAAATTTATTATATTACAATAAAAAATACGGGGGAAATTTTTAAATTCACATCCTTTATTATAAATATAATAGATTAATGTCAACAATTAGATTTCTATAATTCAAAAATTTTTTTTTATATTTATAACTTTATAATGTTCAATAACTCTGTAGCATGTTCAATAAAAATGTAACATTTTTTATACTAAAATTGAACGTTTTTCATGTTGTTTAACTAACTTCTAATATTTTGTTTTAATATTATAATTGTATATCATGTATTTGATTTAAATACTAGTATTGTTTCTTTGATTTATCATGTAATACATTCAAAACCAATTTTAATATTTAACGAAAGCTCTGCTTTATTTTGAGTCATGTCCAGAACAATTACAAATTAGAATCTCATCATCTATATTCAAGTGATATTAAATGTTTAATGTTCCACTATAATATTTATAAAATAGTTTACGTAAATAATTATTACGAAAATATATCAAAAATATGATAAAACAATATAGTATTTAAAACATATAGCAAATATAATTTTAAAACGATAAACAGATTTTTGTAATAAAATCTATTTCGTAAATCACAATAGATGATGTTTCTTCAAATCTATCTAAATTTGATATTCGAATTCGGTAAATATTGTTATTTTTTAATTCAAAATCATGTATCTTACTTGTTTTATTATTGATTTGGTTTTATGCTATTTAGAATATCGATAAATAACTTTAAAAAATTGAATCTCTATATGCAATTTTACTCTATAATCATCGCTTCTATGTGGATTTTATATATTTGTTTTTCAGATAAATATTTTAAGATCTCAATGTAAATATTATTTCTCTTAGGATATTGATGATTAATATGTTTTTTAATTACTATAAAAATGCAATTGAATATTCTAAAAATAATTAAAATATTAATAATTATTCAAAGTATTATATCAATTGAAAAGTAAAGGTAAAATATTTTTTAAAACATTGCAAAATTTATTACATCGTACATGAATTTTAGATAAATAAAAGAATCAATTTTTCGCATTTTATAAATAATTAAATACTTGAAATATATTTGAAACATTTCATAATTGAAGTATGTTAATATGATCTAATTTATTTTATAAAATTATACGGTACACTGTTATTTTTTTTTGGGAGTGAAATTTAATATTATGTTATACAAGGTATAAAATCTATCAGACCTTTGTTTTTCGGTAAGATTCAGAGTTTCCAGCGGTACGTCAGTTTCGGATCTGGATTCGTACTGAATTGACCCTTCGTCTGTTTGCACGATTCGACCCTTACGGCCAGTCATTTCAGCTACATTTTCAGGTCCACCTAATTCATCTATTAATTGATCTAATGTATTAGGTGGTAGCTTTTCACCCAATTTTTCAATTTTAACAAGTAATTCGTCTTTCATACAACAAGCACGTTCGATTGCAATTCTCGATGGTGTGTGGCTTCGTGCACCTGAGTTTGGCTTAACTCTTCCAGAAATTGCTGTCGTCATCAGTGGTAACGTTGCTGTTGCCTTCACAGGTGTACCATTGCGTTGTTTATTCTGAATATTAATTAATGTTTTACATGCTAACATTGACTGTATTTTATCTTGTGTACTAAGACGTTTCTTAACGGATTTTTGTTTTCTCACACCTTTTTTCTTTCTTCTATCCCATGGATCTTTATTAAAAAATTAAGCAAATTAATATTTATTTTATCTTTCATTTCTTTTATATATTTATACAAACAGTGTTATTGTAACAATGAACATTTGCTAGAATCTAATTATTTGTGCAAGATGTCTTAAAAATACATATAAAAATTAATGTTATCCGAAAATAATTTTTGTAAAATAACGAACAAAACAATAAACAATTTTATTTTATTATATAAAAATTTTATAAATAAATAAATTAAAAATATAATAAATTTAAGTTCACATAACTATTATATAAAACTTTGTATATACACAGAGTTAAAAATTATAATATATGTTTTATATGTTTCTCACTAGTATATTTTAATTAAATGATTTAAAAAATAAATCTTTGTATTTAATGTTTTCAATTTTATTAAAAGACCATGTCTCTTAAAGCACAACTATATAACTATATAAATATAACTATACAACTAGACCTATATAAGTATATAACTATCATAATTATAAGAATCAATGCATAGTGTACTATTTTACACAATAAAATAAAAAATCTTATATATGTGAATATAATTCATAAAATTAAGCTTGTAGATATTTAAATTATTAATTAAAATTACCTAATTTAAATTATTGACACATTAAAATTGTCCAATCATAATCACACATTACTTAATTCAAGTATAATTAGATATATAAAGTTTTATTCAAGTGTAATTCATAAATAAAAAATTTCTCTTTAAAATTAACATTAATATTCAGTAATATATTCATTGATACAGAATACACTTTTGAATTAAAGTTTTAAATTAAACTTTTGAATTAAACTTTTAAAATTTTGTTGTTATTTTATATAATATAAAATTATCAATAATTAATTAAATACAAAATTTTAAATAATAAATTAAATAAAAAATTATAAATAATAAATTAAATAAAAGATAATATTTACATCTACATTAAAAACATTGTTTTAATACAGAAATTATATACACAGGCATTATATTTAAAAAGTTACATTTTAAAAAATCATGTAGGTATAAGATATAACTTAAAAATTGTTTTATTTAGATTTGATGACGTTATGAGAGTAGTTCTTTTCGATTCATTACATGGATTTTAAAAATATTACAATAAAATAAAATTTTAGAAAATCTTTTTTTAATTTTTCTACTTTTGTAATTAATACGACAATTTATTACTTTAAATAGCGAAATATTTTATATTTAGTCTATCTGGATTTAGTTTTATTATTGTCCATTTTAAGTTATTACAAAGTTCTTTGAATATTAATAAAATTTTTAACATACCCACATCAGAATCACTATCACTGTCAAATGGATTATAATCTGAGCTTAAGTTACTTATATCTCCATCAGATCGTATTTCTTCCTCGCTTTCTGAACCACTTATTTTAAATTCTGAACTAGAGCTATGCTCTCCGTTTTTCTCTTCTTCCGAAATTTCTTCTTCAGAAGACCACGCACGTACTCGCTTAGAAACTCTTCGGGCTGCTTGACGAATAAGTTTTCGCTTCTTGCTATTTAAAGAACTACTAACCATATTGTTTTTTTCTTGTTCATCAGAGATATTTGGCTGTGGTAAGTCTAAGCCAAGTACTCTATTAATGTGATTTCTATCAGGCGCAGGGAAGTGCTTTTCCACTAATGATTGCAAAACTCCCCTAATGTGCTCGTTCAAAGAAAAACATTTAATAAATACTTTTTTTATATAAATCGTGTTTGAAATTTATTATTTTATATAAACGATTCTTGAAGCATTGCTTTTCAAGACTAAATTATTACAATAAAATAATTGTAATTTATATATTCAAAAATATTTGATATTATATATAAAAATATAAAAAATATTTATAAATAATAATTATAACACTATATTTAATGCTAATATTTTTTATCTTCACAAAAATATAATTCATATTGAAAAAATAATTTATAAATGTATATATATAAATAAAATTTGAAATGTCGCATTCATTTAAGTTTTATATAAAAATTGATATAAATTTACTATTAAAATAATATGCAGTTAAAAAAAAACATTTAAATTAAAACGTAGACATGAACGTTTAAAATTATTGTATAAAATATTACATTGATCAATTAAACAAGTTAATTCAACAAAATAAATAGAAGTTATTACTTTGCAGTAGATACAAAGTCGCTAAGTTCGCCATCATCACGTTCCAATTGCTCAAGCGTACGTGCCTCACCAGTCGATTGAAGGCCTATTACAACGCATTTACCACACTTTACTGCTTCATGGGCTACGCTAACTGCATACTTTACTTTCGCAGCAATACAAAGATACTTAAAAAAGCGTTGATGCGACGACCAAAATTGACCCCACATTGTTTTTTTCATACGATTTTCTGCATCTATAAGCTCTGCGGCTTCTTGGAAACGCTGCATTGCCTCTACCCACTAAAAATCATTGACAATTATTTACAAAATTCAAATTTATTTGGAAATTCTAGTAAATTCTAGTAAGAATTATTTTATTATAAGCATTAATAATATCTATATGAATTTCTAATAACAGTTTGAAAATTTAATTCAATATTGAAATATTATAATATTGAAAATATTGAAAATTCAATATTTTTATTAAAATACATAAATTTTTTTTACAAGTACTAATTATGTTCAAACAATGCATATTATTTTTAAATTATAAAACTATAATAGTCAATTAAAAAATTAATATATTATTATAATGTATGTATGATATATAAAATAAAATTATATTAGGTTTATGTATATGTATTTATTGTATTATACACACATCATATTTCATTATGAAAAATTGTATTATTATTTTTTTATAATAAAAGCATAATGAAATAATTAAAACAATAATTGGTTTTAAAAAATGTATTAATTACCAGTCTAACGGCATGGTTATATACTTTTGTAAATTCTTCTGAAAGAGGAACTTCCTCAATTTTAAATGCGACACCATGAAAACTAAGTTGTCGTGCAATATACATTCCACGAAGTTTCATATCCATAGCCACAATTTCCATTGCACCAACGCCTCTCTTTTCCACTGCTGTAATGAAGTCAATAAATTCTGGAAATGGTGTTCCTTCACCCCATATGCCAAGTCGCACCATATATGCCATATTTCGAGGTTCTGAAGCACCAGTTGCACTAGCATATACAACTCGTGCTTTTGGTAATTTATTTTGTAATTCTAAAACTGTTAAACCTGCATAGAAAGTCAAAACGTAATAGTAATTCTTTTAGCTAAATATTCTATTAATAATTCTATTGATTAAACATATATAAAATATGTAAGTGTACCAGTTTTAGTCGGTTTTGAACTACCAGTGGGACAAAGGTTTTTTGCTCGATGACACTCATCAAAAATAATAAGACCATCAAAATCATCACCACACCATTGTAAAAGCTGCTTTAACCGACTCTTATATTTTCCACAATTTTGAGATGATTCTCCAATTAAAGCAGAATAAGTGCTGAATATGACACCCTTTTTTATATTATTATTTATGCCTGATGAGATTTTTGCATACTTAAATTTATTAAGTTGATGAACCTAATAATTATAAAATCTAAATAGCTAAATACTGCTACATATTATTTATAAAAATATTGAAATTAAAATAAACTGGATACCTCTATACTAGATGCTCCGATATCCCTAAGATCACGCTCAGCATCATACTTTAAATCATTAGAAACAGAAACCCACACAGCACGTTTTCTACCCTTTAAATAATTTTCAAAAATAATTCCTGCAATAGTGCGACCCTTACCAACACCAGCACCATCACCAATAAGAAATCCAGCTCGAGAGCCATCAGGTAAAAGATGTTCGTGTTGTTGTGAAGCATAAGTAACAGATTCAAGTTGTAATGCAGACAAAGCACCCGATTGTATAGTTTCTTTAGGAATTGAAATTTGATACCAAACATCTGTGGGTTCTACACTTGATAAAGATGCAGTTTCTACTACAGGATCAGGATGTTTACGACCAAGTTTTACTACAAAGTTTTAATAAAATATTGTACATATTAAATTTAATAAAAATTAAAATAGTTTGTATAAATAATAATAATTACTATAAATGCAATATTTCGGTTTAATACATACTTGAAACTACAATCTAAATACTATAATTATTTATAAATTCATTCTCTTTCTTCTCTCATTTTTATATAACATTATTAAAAAATATAAATAACGATATAAAAAACCTTTTGTAAATAAACTAAAGGATACTTACATTTGGTGGGCATATAATCTGCATAAGTTTCAGCAACTCCCATTTCTTCATCATCTGCATCTTCTTCTTCAGGAATAATGGATTGCATGTTCATTTTATTAGAATCAGAATTCATCCACATTGTTGATATACTTTTACCTATAATTATTAAGAAAATTTGACTGTTCGATTGTTCTCACCAATGTAACTATTTTTATAATATTATTTATGACATTCAGTATTTGCAATTAGATAATTTCTTATACTGTAAAATATTATTATCGAAAAATAGATAATAATATATTTAATATATATTACAAATCTAATATTGAAACATTTATCAAATACTGTAATGGATTATATATAATTATAAGTAATGTATATTTATCTTTATACCAGTAAGACCTGACATCCAGTTTGGATTAATATCAGTTTGATTTAAAAATTGCATAAAAGGATTAATATTCATATTAAATCCAGTCATTCCTATGAAATTTCCCATAAATTTATTTATATCCATGCCTAAAAAATAGAAATGATTTTTATTTTATATAAATTTATATAATTCATAAAAATTATTTTTAATAGTAAAATATTGACTTTGTAAAATATTAGATGTATTTAGATCTGTAAACCCAGATGGAAATCCAAAATTACCACCAACTGATCCCAGTCCACCTCTAAGTGTATTCATTTGATTTATTTGATTATTTAAATTTATTAAACTATTTGGAATTTCTTGAGAACTACCAACATGTTGAATTATATTGTGACTAGAGGTTGTACTTGTTTCAAATATATCATTAGATATATTTGTTCCATGAGATTGCTCAAAACCTAGTAGTAAGGTAAACATTTATTTTTATATAAAATATATTAATCATTAGACATTAATAGATTATTTACTATATCCTCATACCTTTATTACTTTTTAAGAGATTATTACAAGAAGCTGTTTTAATAAAATGTTCATCTTTTTGAATGGTGATTCGAACTGCAGTTGCAAGATCTTTTCCACCCCCTATTATTAAAATTATATTTATAATTTAATAAATAATAAATTTTTTTAATTCTGTATTTTTCATTTTACCTGGAACTTGAATTTTATCTGGATCATCATCATCATCAAAATCACTATTGCTGCTCTCATCACTCATTTTCCCTTTTTGATTCTCTGTAGTCTACAAGATAAAGAAAAGGAATAACCAATGAAAATGTGGATATTATGTAAAAAAAAATTGTACCGTGTTTTCGGAATTACGTAAAAGTAATTAAATACCGGCAAACTAGAAAGCACGCAGCGGTTAAAACGTCACTATAAGTACCCACGTGCGAAATCTTGTCCAAGTATATAACATAATAGAAAGTTTAAATTAAGGTGTCGTTTCGTTAATATAAATACAACTTTTTTAAGTTAACTCTAGTGTTATGTTTTTTTACTTAAAAAATAGAAGACGTTTTATTTTAAAAATCTTCTAATATGTAAAAAGAAATGTTACATGCGCATGTGTATATGAAAGCAATCATTAATAAGACAATACCAAATGTAATCGCGTACAAAATGCGCGCTAAAACGATAATAAAAAATTATGCAGATGAAAAAAGGAAAAATATAAAGGATAGATAAGTGGCATACAGGTTGAGATAGGTAGGCCAAGTCGCGCGATCTGCAAAAAAATGTCAAAGTAAAGAGCAAAATTATAGAAAGAAAAGTAACGTAAAAAAGGAGAATAGAGCTATTAAATTTAAAATCATTTACCATGATATATCAACAATTTCTAGTGTAGAAAATTATTAAATGTTGTAATAATAGTAAATTCTAACTTGAAAAACTTAACTTTTTTCAAGTTGTTCGACTTGATTCATGCTCTTTCACAAAAATACATATCAACAATTTTTACAGTTGCATATGGTTACGATATTTTCTCCATTTTCTTGTTTTTTTTTTTTTTTTTTTATTTATTAATTTCAAAGTTGAAGATTGGTAAGATAATTAACTACTGACAAGTACAAGAGATTAAAAATTAAATTAAAAAGAAAAATTAGAAGCAAAACATTAAGTATAATGCTTGCAAGTACTTTAATGTAAGACAAGGATCAGTTGGTAGTTATTTAAAATTTAAATTACTTTTTCAACTATAAATTATAGTGATGAAAAAACACTAAGCTTAACAATACTTCCTGAAAGTAGTAGCTTCCAAACATTAGAAAACTATTGGTATAACACAAGGTTGCCGGCTCCTCAACTTCTGATCTAGATATTTAAAATTATTTGTATTCTCAAATAATTCAAATAGACTGAAAGGGAGGGTCTGGCAACGTTGGCAATGACCTCTTGATCATTACAACTTTAAAAAACAGGCGGTAAAAATAAAACACAATGAAATGTATTATTTTATAAAAAGTGTTCAGAAATTATCAGTTTACAACAAATGAAAAGTTATAATGATTTACTTACTGTATGAAAGTGTTTATAATTAATAAAAGAATGTTAAAATTTGTATTACCGCTGAGCTGTGCTTATAGTGTTTTTTAAATCTTGATATATAAATTCATTATGAAGTTAAGTAGAATCGTTTAAATCTCACCACGCCACAAACTGAGTTTATGCAGAACCTATCCAAATGCTCGTTTCATATATTTTCGTATTACAGTACTATGATTTGCATTAAAACGATGACAAAAGTAATTTAGTATATAGTTAAGATAAATTTGTATTTAATCAATTTCAAAATATTTTTGCAAAACTTATATTATTTGATAACATCCACTCTTATATTTTTTTGATAAAATTTTAAATAAAATAAATATCTATGGCTTATCAAATTTATTATACGTGTATTTTTTATATTATTGTTGAATTTTGTAATGCTAAATATTTTTGAGCTGTATATTTACCAACAATATATTTCATATAATTTTTGTAATTTTTTACACTACAATTTTCATTGCTAGATATAATTCTTTTTTCATTTTAATATGTATATTTAGAAATCAAGTAAGATTAATTTATACACATTAATATTAAAAGAGTAATTTACATATAATTTGATTATATTATATATAAAATATAAAAATAAATAAAATCAATATTATTATTAATATATTAGATATTAATTCATAATGATAAAGTCTAATAATTGAACAAAATTATTGAGATTATTGAGATTATTTTATAAAAAAGGTTAATTACACTAAAAATTGAAAGCCTCAATTTAATTATAGACTTAATTATAAATGAATGATTGTTATCTTTGAATACTCCACTTATTTTATATAACTATGATACTTATTTATTATTTTTTTTTATAAATATATACAATTAAAAAAGTATATTAAAACACTATATAATAAATGTTAAATAGTTGCATTGTAATTTAATATATATGCAAATATTTACTTATGTAATTTATTAAAATTTTTGTCTCATTTATGAATATTTTCTTCTTTCATAAAATGTTCAACATTTTTTTTCTCATTTCTAATATATATTTTACTTTTAAATAATTACATCTACTGCTTGATGTCAATTAATCAGCTTTCATATATAAGCAATTTACAGATTATGTTAAATTTTTAGTAATATATTAAACATTATATTTTTTAATTGGTCAAGTATTTTCTTTAAAATGTAAATAAAAATATATATTATTAAACAGATATAGAAAATTTAAAATAAGTTTTCTATATGTATTTCTATTTTTAATAATTCATTTGTTTTTCAATTTTAAAAATCTCAAATTCTAATTAAATTAATATAATCATAATATTCTTCTAATTCCAAGGTTATTTTATTATGATATTTATACTATTTGAATGCGAGACTTTTAACGATAACTATATAAATGTTTTAATAATTTGCTACATTTTTCATGAAATATAATTGAACATAAAATTTATAATTTGTAACAATTTTTAAGTCACGTGGATGGGAATGGAATAGTTCAAAACTGAACAAAGTTGACTAATCCTTTAAAGTTTAGATTATATAATCAATCACACTTGCTTGTTTTTTTATTGAATTGTTATTATATGTGTTTTAACTCTTCGACTTATGAAATTCTGAATGAAATTCAAATACTGAATATATTTAAATTAAAATTGAAGATAAAATATTATTAACAAATTTTTGTGGTAATAATACGTAGTTCCTAATATTTATAAAAAACCTTTTGAGTAAAATATTTAACTAAAAATGTATAAAAAATTGAATGCTTTAATTATATGACGAATCTTTATTATAATAATTTTATTAAAATTTACTCTATCTAATAAAAAATTTAATATTTAAAAATTGTAAAATAAATATTTTGAATAAGAATTTTGAAAGCTAGTTTTTTATGAAATTATTACGCGAAGGAACAAAATGAGATGTTATTATTACCGTGATTGGTTGTTGTTTCTCGAGATACATTTTTATCTATTTTATAAATTTCTTGATGCTTTAAATATTTATATATAAGTAAATTAATTTTTGAACATATAAATAAAATGGATTTACTTGGATCCATTCTAAATTCAATGGACAAACCTCCAGTAATAAGTGATACTCAAAAAGCCATGATAAAAAGTACGTGAAAAAGAACTTTTTTCCTGCATAAAGTATAGATGTATATGGTAATTTAAAAATGAAAAAAATATCTTCTGAAATCTTCTGAAAACTGAAATATATAATTTAATTCATATTAGAGTTATGCCATTAAGATTTAGGAAATATATTTATAAACTAAATATTTTTATATACTATTATTAGTTTCTAATATAATTAACTCAAAATTTATGTTATAAAAGCATGATATTTCAATCTAAGCGTTCTACCATTTTATGTAAAAATGTAATATATTTTTATTTAAATTTATATAATTGAAATACAAAATTGAAATTATTCAATTATTTATATAAAAAAGTACATTCTAAGCCAAGTTAAATGTATCTGATGTTTTAACTTATCAAATTTACATTAATTATAGCATTTAAATTAATGCAATGTGAGATGCTAATGATATTTCATTATAAATAATTTATCATATATAAATATATTTTGTAAATATTTTCTGTTTTGTTATTTTGATTATTGTTTAAATATTAGTTTGTATTATTTTATATTTATAGAGCAACACGAAGACTTTAAAAAACATAAGCAAGCAGAAACAGAAATTTTTAAAAAATTTAGAACAAAGGTAATTTCTATTTTATTTATTTCTTTATGCAAAAATTTTGTGCTACAAATTCTTTAGTTTTCTAATAACGGTAAGCAATTTTTCAATAATTTATACATTATAATATAATATTTATTAACAATTAACTAAGACTTAAAGTAGTATTAACAAATTAAAATTATGATAAATATAATTTTTATCGTTATTGAATCTGAGTACAAATATGTATTTATTAGAAATATCATTGATATAATTGAGTGTTTGAGTCAATTGAAAATCAAAACAAAATGAAATGAAAACAATATTGAACATTGGTAATAAAATTATATTTAATTCAGAAATATAATATTGTTTTTTATGTTAAAAAGTTATAATATTGTTTTATATTTTAATTTTTGTATTTATTTTGTTGAATATATGATTATTAATTTAATTTATACATTTAGTCATTTAAGATTGAAATGATACATTTATGCAAATAAATTTGTTATTCATATTTTGAATTCAATACTTTTATTTTTTTAATCTATTTCATTTTATTCCAAAAAAAAAATAATAAATGAATACAATTTTTTTTATTTAATTTAATTTTTCATATTATCTTATGTTATATTATATTATGTAATTTTTTAATATATTCAATTTATTTTATGTATTATTCTATTTGTAATTCTTAATGTCATGATATACTATATATTTTAAAAATAATTTATTTTACTTATATGGTAAAATATTTAAATACAAGAATAAGAATATAAATAATTTTGAATGAAATATTTAAATGAAATAAATGTTATATATCATTATTTATTAAAAGTTGTCATTTAAATAAACTAATAAATAAACCTTTCTTAACAAAACAAATTATTGTTTATTAAAGCATTAAAAATTGTTTTTATAAAAGCAAATGATACAATGTTTTAAAAATTATTAATTTTCAATATACGTGCTTCTAAATAAATTGTCATAATCTTTTAAATTTTATTTTTATTAATTGCAAAAATTTAATGTAATTATTTACTTAGGTTGAAGATAAAATTAATACTTTTCTTAAAGATGATCTTAGAAAAGAATATAAATTTTCAGCTATGGAGCAAGTTTATAGAAGTATTATGTAATTTTTATATTTTTGACTAAAAATATTTTTAGCCATATATTTTATTTAATTATATTAGCATTAACTTTTTAGTTATGATGTTTGTGAAGTTGCTAATATTTTAGCATATTCTTTTGGTGAAGAAGGAATTGATAAACATGTCGTTATTTTTAAAAAAGAGCATACACCTTCTGAAGACCATTTAAATGCTTTACGAAGAGGAGAAGAGTGGAATGAAGACATTGCCCAAAAATTACAAGAAAAACGTCAAAAATATCTTGATCAAGTAAAAGAAGAAAGAAATATAAATACTCAGAAACGTAACTTTATACCAAATTCTAATTATAAAGATAAATATAAACATCTTATTGGTGAAGATGCTGCTCTTGAGGCAGCTAGAAAAACAGAAGCAAATACTAGTTATGGTTATGGTAAGTGGCAAATATTAAAGAAAACAGGAAAACTTAAGGATTTAATATGTGCTAGCAAAATTTTCAAGAAATATTTAATTGATACATTGTTGTTAAAAGTGGTAAAGTTAGAGACTCACATAATGACATAAAATGTCTATAAAATTTATGGTTTAATTAAAAATATTGGATACATAATTATATAAATTAATTTTTTGTAATATTATTTTATCAGTGTAAAAAATTTATTCATTTACACATCGAAAATTCAAATAAATTGTAATATTCAATTGCGATTTAACTGATGTTATATTATTTGGAAGCTTTACCATAAATAATAATCAAAACCAATATTTTAATTCATTATAAATATATACTAAAATTGAAAAACAAAATAAAATTTTCAAAAAATATTTCAATCATTTTCACAAATACTTTATAAATAGAAATATATGTTCATTTAAGATAATATTTAAGACATAAATTAATTGTTAAAATATTATGATTTGTGTATATAATCAGCAAGTATGATATTTATAAAATTAGTACTTAAGTATGATACGACTAACTATTACTTAATTAAATTAATACACATTTAAAAATTTTTTGTTTATAGTTCCATGTAAAAATAAAAAGGATCAGAGAAGCATAGAGCAGACTTTGGCTGATATTAAAAAAAAAAAACGGAAATTACAAGAACAAAGTGAAAACAATGTGAACCAATAAAATTAAATAATACATTAATGCTATCTTATTAATTTATTAGTATTTAAAATTTTAAATAATGAAATTTCATATCTTTATTTTATTACATGAATATTTACAAACACATGTAAGATATTTCTTTATCATAAAGGATATATTAAATAAAATTTATGGAATGACAATATATTAAATAAATTCTGTTGTTGAATATTTTGGTATCGATGTACGTGGAACTGGTCTTGGTTTATTTGAAATAGATATGGTTTCAAAACAAAATTTTTCTTGCAAGACAAGCAATTTTTTAAAATCATATCCAATTACACTTTTATAAAGCTCCAAACATCTACCAATAATGACATCGTGAAAGTATTTGGCATTATCTTGCATTAAGTTTTTCTGAAAATACAAGAATCAAGAATAAATGCAAAATATTGAATACAATAATACTAGTTGAATTTATTTTGTTTATTTTGTTTTTTGGAATGTTTACTATATATAAATAATATAAATTTAATCTATTTCAGTTTAAACCTTAATTGATTATTGCTAATGATATAATTTATATCTATTTTAACTATTTATTTATTTATACTATTTAATATATTCTGATTTTCATCTTGAATTTCAAATAATTTTCTTCTACATAATTAACTATGGCTAAATTTTGTATTGGTAATTTTCTGAATATCATTTATCTTGTTTTATATACATATTTATTTAATGGTTGATTTAAAAAATATTTAAATAAAGACCTAATATTACAGTCATTTTTTTAAATATATTTTGTTCATACACATGATTCTGTATTTTTATTTTTATTTTAATGTACCCCAATTGCCAATAAAAAAATGCATAAAGTAACTATTGTTAATTTAGTAGTTTGCTATTTACATTTAGAATTTACAGTAATTTGTTACAAATTTTTATTATTCAAGTTATTTACATATGTTTTAATATAAATTAATGAAAATTTTGAAAAACGTACTTACATCTTGTTTAAATTTACAATTGAAAATTGAAGATTGTATATGTTGAATTTGTATTTGCAATACAGAAATCAATACTTCTTCTATTACATTACTAGTTTCAGGTGTAATTAAATTAAGACAATCTTCAAGTAGTCCTATATATAACTTTGCAAAAGCTAATGTATTATTAGTTAATGAAATCCAATATTTATTCTTGATACAAGATTCTGGCAATGGAATTCCAAGATTATCTAGTTCAGCAAGCAAATTCAAAAAATTTTGAGTTGTTTGAAGATTACTTAATTTCCAGTTGTCTTCTGAAGCTCGCACTTTTATTGCATCCATGTATTTTTCTCCTGTGTCTTGCAAAGTTCGACTTAAAGGAATTTTCAATTGATTATCTAATTGATATTGAAAATCCATACCCATTTGAGTTAACTGTAAACGAATTTAAAGTTCGAAATCAATAACAATATGTTTAATCACTATTACTAAAAGCAAATATTTTAAACCTGTTTACAATGATTGCGTATCATTATGATGCATTCAACAAGTACACTTAAAGAAACCTGAGGTATAAACATTTGTTTTATTAGATGAGAAACAAGAAATTTTATTTCATGACTACACCATAATACTAGAGCTATAAAATAAATTTTTTTAATATAGTAAGTAACATACACGCATATTATACGCTTAAAACTCACCAGATGCACAATTTGTAATTTGTGGGAATATTTTTAAAAATTCTTGTGACAGTTCAAAAATATTACTAAATGCTATAGCACTTAATTGTTTTATGTAAGGCACTGTTGTTCCTTCTCTTTTAACTCTCTTAAGTCGTGCTTTTAAAGATGCACTACATAACTTTAAATATAACTGGCATGCTTGTGCAGTATGATCCATTTGAATTAAAAGCTTTACAGCTCTTCTAGCACTTCTCAAACCACCTCCTTGAAGAGATTTAGCTTCAACACTTAACTCTAACTCTCTTGTAAGAACATTAATAAGGAAATAACTTCTACTATTAATCTTTAAAGTTGTTTCATTTAATTGAGGGGTAGGTAAAGCATTATTTACAAATACCTTTGCTTTTTCTATTAGTTTGTATGCTTTTTCAAAATGTCGTTGAGCAATACAGGAATCCAAATCTTCTGTAACTTCTAACATCCACTCTGGAAATGGCTCATAAAAATGGTGTTTATCTATTTTATTGCTTACTACAATAATACAATAACTATGAAATAAAAATACAAATATTATTTAATGTATATTTTCATATATTGTAACTTACCTACAGTACCAGTTTCTGAATATTTGGATTGAGAAACAGTATATAATAATTCCATTTTAGTTGACTTTTTTGTATGTATAGGTTTTAGTTGAGTTTCTTGGGCTATTTTTAATTTTTTTGCTTGTTCACATTTCTCAAGCCATTCTCTCTTTTAAAAAAATATTTAAAAAAACAGATCGAGTTAGTTGTTTTTCATTACTTTTTAATAATATACAAATTTGTAAATCAACCAACCTTACTAATAGCATTAGTACATTGAAAAACTCTTGTATCAGGAAAAGATAATAATTTGAAAGCAAGTTTTACAGTCCCTAAATCTTTGATATTGACAATCGCTAAACTTTGTAAATCATAGATCACCTGCATTTTATATCTTGGTGGACCTCTTCTATTACCATTGGCCAACCAAGAAGCAATCATTAAAACATCATTAAATAAATAAGCATGTATTCGCTTTAATGGCAAACCCTCTACTGGGTCTAACTCTAACAAGGATCCTTCATACAAACACATTCTTCCAGGTGTTTCTAAAAGACTCTGAATTAAATATTAAATTTAATATATATCATTATTGACATCTATTTGAGAAGATATATTTATATTTACCATAGCACCTTCTACATTTTCAAGTAATTGTATTAATTTTAATTTAGATTCTTCCTCTTTAAATTGAAATTCTACAGAAGTTGGTGACTTAATTTCAAAGTTATTTTCAAATACAATATTCTGATTTGTTCCAAAAATACTTAATAAAGATCGTTGTTCACTTAGTAATTGAGATAATTGATACATTTCAGTTTCTAAGTGAGAGATTTCTTTTGCAGTTTCTATAAATTGATTATAATTTTGATAAACATTAAGTTTCAATAAAGCAGAAATACTGTCTGCTAATTCTTGAATTTTTGCTCTTTGATGTCTTAGATCTTCGGCACCAATACAATGTGAACTAAGATTTTTTACAACTATATAAAGCAATATAATATCAATATTTTTAATCATTAAATAATATAATTTGGTAATACATCTTTGTTCCAAATATATTATGGACTATATATTTTTAAAATAAATTTATCATTTATTTCAAACAAATACTTTTACAAATTTATTTAAAAAATACATAAGTCTATTAATATATTTATTAACTTTAATAATTTATTATAGTATTATTATTTTGTATGAATAAACTACTTATTACTTTGTTAATAAGCTGGTATAAAGGTACTAGCATAATTATATTGTATTTTTAAAAAGCTAAATATATATATTATATATATATATATATATTTATATATATATATACATACATATAAATTCTAATTTATGCAAATAAACATTATGCTATATACTTACATTTTTCAGGAGTGAACTCTTCTGTTATGAAATGTTGTGCTAAAGCCTCAGACATTTTTCTTTAATATCCCAATAACTACACAATATTTAATACTTGCATATAATATTTACAGTTTATTGGCTTTTATTAATTTATTTTATTTTAAAGTTACATTTACCATTTATATAAAATTAATTATAAGTAATAAATAAATCTGTCATTATTATTTACAAACATATTATTTGTAATAATTAATGATTAGTTTTTTAAAATTATATAACCATTTCATGTTCATTAATCCTCTTGTATAAATTATTGGTTTAAACCAATACAGCGTTTTCAAACAATTGTATATAAAATATTATTTTATTATGTAAAGATTAATAAGTTTAAATTAATATATTTTAATTGATTAGATAATATAATATTGTCATAAATAGAAACTTATAATAAAATTTAAATTAATTTGTTTGTGATATTTAATGATTACAAAGGAAATACTGCACCTTTTCTTCGCATGCGCAGTATACGTTTTTATATGATTACCGCATGTTGAAAGTACAAATGTTGGTATTCATTTTTATTAAATATAGATTGAATTGACAATACAATTTGACCAATCCAATTTATGAAAAATTTTAATAAAATTCTGACACATTTAGTCTGAAAGGTCAAATATTAATTATTTTTCTTTTATGTTTTATTTAGATAAAATGTTGAACATATTTAGTAAACTAAATAATGTATTGTCATATCGATAAAAAATTAATTATTTTGTATTGATAACTTAATTTTGATAATCCAAAAAGCAATAAATCGCAGAAAAAAATTTGTATTATTTTTGCTTCCTGATATCTATAATTTCATTGTAATTTCGCGATTATATTTCGTTTCACTAATAAAATGACTTAATATCGAAAAAAAACATTTTAGTTGTCATTTTTAATTATATACCTTTTTCTTGTCTTTTTTTGCATAAATTTATATGAATTAAATTATTGGTTATGGTTCCAAAAGTTATTAAATTTTACTTTTTATCATCTCATTTTTGTAATCTTTTTATAACAATTTCCAATTATTTATTTATGAAAAAAGGTGCTTTGACATTTAAGAATTTATATCGTCATAATTTGGAATTTATAGTAATTCTTAAAGCTATTTATAATTTAGATATCTTTTAATATTCTAATAAAAACGAATTTTTTAATCGCAATATTTTATAAAAATGAATGTGAAATATTATACAATTTATGACTGTTTAACACTTGTTTTTTGAAAAGAAGAAATTCTTAAAAGTTGTTCGAAAATTGAGTTTGTGGCTCGAACTGCCAAATTCAATAGTTCAGCATATTAGTCTGTCGCCGTAGCGATGCGTAGGAAAAGGACACGTGTGAAAGGGCAGAAAATATGTGCAGTGTGTGACTTCGTTTAAGATAGCATTTATTGTTTTATTAACAATTACAGTATTGCAGTTCTATGTGCACTTCTTGTAGGAGAGAGGCGATTATTCTATTACAATGATGTGTTTGCTTTTTAGAAATGCTGATGATGTTGTTGATGATGTTATGGGGATCAGCACTGGATTTTGAATATTCTCTGAAGGGGAATGTGACTTATTGGGTCTGTGCTGACGTTGTAAGGAGCAGTAAGAACAGCCGATCGAAGAAAGATGGTGATGGTAGTTAGCAGTATTTAACAGAGAGAATTGACCATACTCATAAAGGGAGTATGGTAATGTCTCCGTGAGAATCGATCATACTCATAAAGGGAGTATGAGAGTATTTGTGTGCTAGTTATTCGCAATAAAGATAAATTATATATCTTCGAGAACAGAAGGATTTGATATCATGATTTGTATAGTCGATTATTTTCTAGAACGGCAGTCAGCTCTTGACGGATTGATGTTTTTGGTGCACTGGTTAAGTGAACGAGCATTCCTTGCAATAGCTGCGTTGAATAAGCATGTATTGCTTGACCTTTTCCTGGCAAAGACTCCGTGCTACAGCGTGGCTTGGACGTATATGACTTTTTAGACAAATAATTGAATAGTGGTACTTTATAACTATCGACACTGCGTACCGGATAATTGTTTTGTGTTAACTACCGACACTGTGTACTGTGTGACTGCGGAGTGGTAACTACGGATACTGCGTAGTGGGTGACTGCGTATGTTGACTACCGACGCTACGTAGTGGATGACTGCTTCATGTTAACTACCGACAATGTGTACTGAGTGACTGCTGATGGTAACTACGAAGAGGCTTGACGCGTGCTTCATTAAGTATCAGCACGGCAACTAGGACTAACGAGAATATGAGCTTTGAGTTAGTTGGAAATTCGGCGTGAGAAAATGTAAGTTTCCAAGTTCGAGGCTAAACAACCTAGTAGAGCGATCGAAAATTCTACAATTTTAGCTAGTCGGAAATTCGACGTGAGAAAATGTAATCGTTCGAGGCTAAGCAGCCTTAGAAAATGATCGAGAACCGAAGCTATAAACTAGTCGAGAATTCTGCTTTTGAAAATGAAAATATTCCGAGAACCGATGGCCTCGAATAAAATGCTCCAATTACGAACAAAAGTAAATTACCCAGAATAATGTTTTTCGAGATGTATCTATAAGATTTTTAAAGATACAAAAGCTTCTAAGAAATAATATAATTTTGGATTAATATAGTTCTGTATTCATTTTAAATAGAAAAATTCAGTATGAAATTATGCAATATTCTATAACCTCGATACGGCAGGCATTAATATAAATTATAAAGTTTAATATGGTAATTTATAATAAGTTAATTAACATCAATTAACAAAACCATTTATATATATATATATATATATATATATATGTATGTATATAACGTTTTCTATAGAATCACAAGTAAAGATATAGTTAGATGTATAAACTATATTCATAAAGAAATAAAAACTTGTATATATGTTAGAATTATAATAGAAAACATATCAAGAATTATGTATTTATCAAATATACATATTGAGTAATGTCACTCTGCACTTGGATCAGAATTAAATTGGTTAGAAATAAGAACACTATAGAACGTTAGAAACGCAAAAACTATTATCTGAGTAAACTTTTTTCGAAACTAACATGATTATAAACTTATTAAAAAAAACGTATTATACAAATTAACTAATATGATTATAAACTAACATTAACCATAAATTGATACGAGAGTAAACGGAATCGAACGTTGTATATTGCACATATCTGCTTATGACTTTTATATATTTTTTTAACAACGTTGTTACGATTTTCAAAATTTTCTTACAAAAATGATATTTGTTCATAATTATTATAATTGTGAAATAAATACAGATTTATTTCCTTAACATTGTTACTTTTTTATACTTTATTCTTGTAATATTATTGTTAATGTTATTTCTGGGTATTTCTAATAAGATTATTGTTTTGGTGTTACAAATGTTTCAATTAATTTCCTATAATTTTATAAATAATTATTCGATAACTTAAGAAAAAACCTTAAATTATTATTAATGTTAAACTTTTTGTACTTCCAATTATTATAGTTATTAAAATATTTGTAGTCATTTTGTGATGGCCAACATTTTTATAATCCATAAATGACATTTTTTTGTTTCTGTTAGATAAAAGTAATGTAAAGTTTTATAAAGTGTTTAAATTTATTTTAGAAAAATTAAATCTTATACATTGATGTTTTTAATGCTGTGTACATACTAAAATTAGGATTTTATATTTAAATATGTGTTGTGTTAGGCACATTATAAAGAACCAATAACCTAATACTCTATTAGGAATTTTACCCACTATCTAGGGAACACAAGGTCGAATATTATCTGTTGCTAAGATTCTATATTTATATTAAAAAATTTGGAAAAGTGTTTTTTTTTAATAAAATAAGTTATATTGGTGTACAATTCATTGGTTACATATATATTAGCTTACACTATAATTAAAACTTCAATTAATATGTAGTTTCTAGAATATACATTACAATAAGAATTATAATATATTATTAATGAAATATAAGTTTATTACTTTTTAGATTATTCGAAGATAACTTTAGATTACTATATAATTTTTTATATTTTTTTATTCAGGATTTCTAAACATAACGCTTCAGTGAATGATACTTGAATAATTAAATATGACTAATAAAATTTCTCAAACTTTTAAATTACTCTAAAATTATTAAAAATAATATGCAATAAGTAATAACTAATAAGTCTTTATGTAACTTAACGGTAGTTAGCTTCATCCCCGTATCCTCGACATCTATATTGTTATAATTCATTTTCAAATTTATTTATATTAATATGATTAAAAAAAAAAAGTTCATTTTATAAATAATTTTATTATAAATGTACATAAATCTAAAACTGTGAATATCAACATACCTAAACATTTTTTTCTTCTTTCTTTCTACTCATATTTCTTCAATTAAAAAAATTGTCAATTATTTATTTCATAGAAAATAAAAAAATATACTAGAATGTTTGAATGAAAATTAGTTCATCAACATTATTTGTTACTTTTAACTGTAAAGCATCGGTTATAGTTTTGTTTTATTTAATGTTTATTATACGTCTATGTTATAATTCTTATAATTGTATCTGTTTGTTAATTTTTCTACAGGATGAAATAAGTAGTTCTATATTCATTGTTATATACCTTATTCTAAACTGTGGTTCACATAATACGTTAAAGTTAAGACTGTAGTGAAAGAATGTGATTAGATAATGAAACATAAGCTCTGATATATTTAAATGTCATTATAAATTAATATTTACCATACAATTTATTTTGTAGTTAAGTTTTAATGAAATATAAAAATTGTTCGAGATTGCGAAAACCTTTTCAAATGCCATAAAACATCTGGCAAAACAATATCATTAAATAGTTATTAGAGTTATGAAAATTCCTGCTCATTAAACATCTAGCAAAACAAGTCATAAAACATTTGGAAAACTCAGATGTTAGGGTTTTCTTGAGATGGTCGCTACACCCACACGCTAAGACCTACCAGCATGCATTCGCCCCTGCCCTTATTTTTCAAGTCTGCCACGTGGCCGCCAGAGTCGTCCATGGAAATGAAATTAGGAGCTCCTTTTAGCTCGAAGGCTACAAAAAGAATGACCTTGATTGAAGGCTATGCCGCGAGAGGCGCTGCACTCGCCCATTAATCGGCAAGTTCTCCGATTGGATACCAGGAAAGAGAAGGGATCTCACACTATTTGAGAAATACAACCATTAGATTCAAACACTCGCATTGACGGTTTCAAGGAGAAAGGGAAAGTAACGTCAGCTCAGCTGAGTCCGAAGAAAGTCTTCGTTAGTAATCTTCTTAATATAAGGTAATTCGCCACCAGTTTCCACACGGTCTCTCGAGTAGCTAGGTTACATAGCATACTTCAAGCTCAAAGAGCAAAGCTCAATGCCAATTCAAGGTATAAACAATATTAACCTACTATTTCCACAGCCTGTGCCTAAGGAGATTTTCACTCGCGCTTAACACGCATTAAGCCAACATCGCGCCATTCAAAGTCATACCGTGTAGATCCTAACCTCTAATTACAGCACGCGCATCAAGAGCACGAGGCACTTATTTTAAGAAACTGCCGCTTATGCCAGAGCGCACGAAGCAGTAGCAGATTCACTACGTGACGGTACTCGAATTAGTGGTAAGAGCTTTACAACCTCTCCTTTCTCAGGGTAACATACCATCAAAGGCACCGTGACACGAGGAACCTCACAACCTCCTACCTCTAAACGAAGTGCACACTAACTCCACGTGCTAACCGCCACAGAGCTACACGAGTTCATTTATTGACTAATCATACTTGTATTTAGAAAATAGATGGAATAAACAGCACTAAAAACAGATGTGTCAAATATTGAATCAATATACTATCCCTTTCACTTGCCCACGCATTTTTCCCACATAACATCTCGTGGTCTTTTGTTAATTCTAAACAATTTGGTTCTTCAACCTAGATCATCCGACACATTTTGTATATAAAAATCAATATTGCCAATTTAATAAAACAAATTATAATTTTCAGCACTAAACGAAATAATGATATATAGTGGTAAGGTATAAAAGAAATAAGAAATATAGTATTTTATCATTTTTAATTTAAACAGATAAATTTATTTGAATGTCGTCGATGTTAAAACATTGATTTCTTAACTCATTGTGTATAAAACCTACTATATTATATCAATGCTGCTTAATTAACTCAGTGCAAGTAGCATTGTATACCAAATTAAAATCGCTATAATTAAGACCGAACAAATTAAGTACAAATACATATGAAAAAATCATTGTATGCCATCAAATAGACAATATGAAAAATTCATGTACTATTTTATGTATTATAATTTTGAATAATTCAAATTGAGACATAAGCCAAAAAGTCAACTTTTATATATTTTAGAAATTTATTTTAATAAAAGGAATATTTAAATAAAATTATAAAAATTTTTAATTAAAAATTTGAAAGTATATTGCTTTGTTTTCTTAACAAATACGCATTTTAGCTTTACCAAGATGTTTTATTACTTTATACAATAATTTTATACATCAATTTTTTTGCTTAAAATAAGAAATGTATTTTCTCAAGAGTCTACTACTAAATTAAAGTTAAAATGTGAATTAAAATCGGAGCTAATTAGTTTCATATGGATCTTAATGTAGCTCTTATTTCATTGCTAAGTAATACAAAGTAATCATGTTTTATATTATAAATAATTGGCTCTATTGATAACATTTCAAGACAAAGATCGGTCCCTCTTTTTTTATTATCAAATAAATTTATGATTATAATTATTCAATATTAATCTTTTCAAGATAAAGCAAAGAACTTAATTTTATATAGATATTTAGTCTGTATTTTACTTAATAAATATTAATTACAAAATGTTATTTTTCTATCAACTTCTTAATAATTAATGTTATTAGATTTAGCGAACAGAATATAATATTACTAAAACTATTAAACAAATAATTAAACATCCAAGAATAACGGAATCTCTACGTTTACGTATGTTTATCCTTTGCAAAATGGTATTAATGGCAGGAAATCCGTTTGAAAGATCATGAAATCTTGTTTGAATGCGTTTGAATGTATGTCGTTGAGAGATTAAATGATCTCTGGTATCCATTGCAATACTAATTTGGTCATTGATTAACGTATCTGAACTAAAATTTATTTTATTATATATTATTTAAACTTGCATGACCAAATTTTTACAATTAAAATAATATATATATATATATACATACTCCTGAATATATTGATTTTCTTTCAACCACATATCTCTGCGATTTAGACCATTTACGCTATTATAACTAGACGAAACAAACATATACTTTATATTACTTTTTATTTTTAATAATAAATAAATTTTTACCTTTTATCTATTAAAGATTTATTTAAATGATTTTCTTGATTCTTCTGAGTTATAAAATTATTTTTAACTATACTAAATTCAAATTTATAATCCTTTAAAATTTCTTTATGTCGTTGCATTGTATGTAACATTGCAGCACCATTGGGATGAATTTCATTCATCTTTTCATTCAGTAAAATTAACTATAATACCAACATTTTCATATTTATAACCATGTTCTAATAGACAGATTTATTGAATAAAACTGTTACCTTTGTTAACGATGATTCTATTTCTGAAGCCATATTTGCAAAAACATGCTCTTTATCCAACAGTGGTATTGAATTTAAATTTATAGGATTAGACTTTATACTACTGCCCAATTTACTAAATGAAACTAATTTTATATCAAGTTCATTTTCTAAATGTCTGGCTTCCTTCCTTAAATCTGGAATTAGGTTATAAATATTATATTAAAATCTGTATAAAATATATAATGTACTTTGTAATAATCATTAATTTATAATTATTTTGTAATTTATATGTGATTTATAATTATCATTACAAATTTTGTATGTACATTAATAAATAAAAACGATTATTAAAGTATATAGTTAATGCTTGAAATAAATATATTTAAATGAAAGTTTATTTTGATTCTTCAACGTTTTCACAAATTTAAAAATTGTATATTTTCAAAAGTGTAATAATTAAATAAGTAATACAAAATATACCTTCCCAATTTCTGGATATTAAAGTACTATCCATAATCAAACATGTACATATGCATATAATAAAATAGATCACTATAATTTTGACATTGAAAGTTTTATATGTATACTTATTAATTACTAATTTCAACAATCTATAATTATTTTAACGATTGGTTTTAATTTCAAAAATACAATTCAAGAAAGGTAACAAAAATTTTATACATTATGCAGACGCTATGCGCTCAAACACACGCGAGCACGTACGCACGCGCTCATGCACACCAAATATATCAAAGTATGAATACATTTAAACATAAATAATATATTAAAATAATATAGAATATTTTAGTGGCGACTTAAGTAAAAATGTGAAAATAATTTTTAAAATGTGAATGGATAAAAATGTATATACAAATTTTTTTTAATTTATTTATATCTTTATTAAACTTACAACAATATTATCAACAAAATGCACAAATTTATAATAATAATTTCATGTTTGAATTAATTAAAGTTATAAAATTTATCAGATTTATCATTAATAAAATAAATAATAGCTCTGGCGCAAACACACCTTCATCTCTGTTGAATATTTAAATTTCTATATTTTATATTAAAAGACAACGTTCTATTAGTTACATAATGAATAAATTGACATACAATATTAATTAATGTAAGAGTTGTAAATCCATGAGTGTGTTAACACGTTAAATTTAAGGTGAAAATTTAATATAGTAAATAATTGAAAAGTAGTTTATGTTATAATAGACTGTTTCTAAGTCGAAATTAACAAATAAAATCTATTACCTATATTAAATAAACTGTTTTAAAAAAATTTGTTTTTTAGTGAAAAATTGATTCAAACATTGTTACAATGTTTCTATTTGCAATACAAATTCAATTATATATCCGAAATAGACTACCAGCAAATCGTTACTGCGCTAACCATAAAAAATCACGCATATAAAATCGCTCAAGTAAAGAAATTAATGACGAGGAAGTAAGAAAAAGAACTATAACGAAAGAGAAATAAAAATATTATTTTTTAAAAATTATAATATGACAACATAACATATATTAAGTTTTTATTTTGTTATTTATATTATGTTATTATTCTATGTAAAAATATACAACATCAAAACCACCAGTTACAGTTTGTTTAAATTACAATTAAAATTTTGCAACCTACTATCAAATATTACAATTTTATGATATATAATTATATTAAATATAGTCCTTGTATTAAAATCCTGCCAATTATATAGTGTTTTGTAATATATATGTCATAAGTAATATTTAGTTATATAAAAGAAAATTCAATGACTTATTTTCTAAACATATAAATATATTTAAATTTATATTTTACTATTAAATCAATATGTATACTAACCGTTTAAACTAAAATATCAATAATGTAAATATATAAATGAGGCTTGTGTAGTTAAAATTTATCAAGTAGAAAAGTGTTATTTTAAACTATTGTTAAAAAAAAACTTATGACAAAAATAAAAAAAGAATCATTAAATAATTTGCGGCGTGGGATTGTTACATACAGTCACTGTGAGATCCAGCAAAATTTATAAAATGGAGAGAAACAACTGCATTCTTCATACTTACAAAAACTGTATGTTCGAGATTGAAGCAGTTTAAGCAGAATTTAAAATTTGGAAAGTTACAAGCTCTCGGACACTCATTTATACACACGATTCAGTGAATCCGGGAATTTTCCTACGCCTTAAATTCTAATATACGACAATATTTCTGCATAGCAACGCCGATGAAACTTTTAGAAGCTTCTAAGACTGTGCCCTTCGACGCTTCTAGAACATTTCATAGCTTCGTTCTCCGACATCACGACGATTTTCGGCATAGCAACTGGCATCGGCGCTATTACCGGCGTCCCAAGCTACCACGCGAATATTTAAGAGCAGTACGCCACGCACCAAAGCTCACTGTAATTCTACACCCCGCTCATTGATATTTTATTATTATTTAGTGCATTTTCACATACACAGTATCAGTTGTCACTCGTGACCACGCGAAACTTAGCCGCATATCAGACAATCGGTCTAAAAAAAAACATGTGTGTATTATAAAAATCTGTTACAATAGTGTAGTAATTCAACAGTAAAGCCATTGGAATTGTAGTCAATAAGATGCGCCAGCCACGCAGCCATTCAGCGTGCATTCTCGGTAGTTCACAAGGTACATCCGTTTATTATTTGTATATGATAGCCATCCACTCTCGAATCACGTCACGTATAAGGCCTACAAAAGTGACACAATACGCTCTCTCAAGCCGATCAGGCCAAAGACCGTACGTTCACCCTCTACATGTAATTACATTGTCAAGGCTAGAATTCAGCCGATCGACGTTGATGATAAGTCCTTCCGTCATCGAAGGACCTGTTTATGATTTAATCTTCTTGCGTGTGATTAAGTCTCTAATATTCCTATTCTCCCATTGGAGATATAATAAGTATAATAAACATATAATAAGTATGCTTACTCTTTCTACGAAACCTTATTGATTACCATTACCATCACCATCACCTTCTTCCCATGCTCATTGATGAACATGGTCGACTACTTATGCTGATCCTTACAACATCAGCATAAACTCAATACTCAACATCCACAATGATTTCCATAGCATCAACGACAACCAAGGACACAAGGAAGCACCCTACTCCAATAGAATGCTTTTCCCTCTCTCTCTCTCTCTCTCTCTCTCTCTCTCTCTCTCTCTTACGTGAAACAACCAACAGAACTGCCATATTATAATTCATAAACCAGAATAAAACAATATCTTCATTCAAAATATATATTACATAATATTTTCAGCCCTTCCACTTGTGCTTTTTTCCTCCTAATCACTACGGCGAGAAACTAATCCACTTAACTATTGAACTGGTAGTTCGAGTCACACAACAAATACTCAATTTCGAACACTTTACAATTTAAAATTAAAATTGTACAGAACCCATGATTTATAAAACTTATACTACTTGTTACATTTCTATTTACCAATATATTAATCAAAATTCAATACCGATCATTTTTCTTACAAATGAAACTTATTAATTTATAGATCAAATTGTAATTATTAATTATAATTAAAATTGCAAATATAAATAATTTAAATATATTACTATTCAATTCAATTAAAATTGTTTTTGCAAGAATAATAGATCAGAAAAGTAATTTTTATAAAAACAAATTTTTTAATAGAAAATACAAAATTATACATTTATCATTGTTGTACAATTTAGGATTATCAGCAAATATTTATGACTATAAATTATATGTTGTTTAATTTCTTCAGAATAAAAAATACAATCAGTAGACAAAATTATAATAGTAAATTAAAGATTAAAAACATATCTTGATAAACGTTTAATAATTCGTAAGAATATTCATTACATGATTACTCGTATGTATGCAATGAAATTTTTTACTGTTGCATTCAACTTGGGACACCGAATACTCTTTTTCCGTTTTATAATATCGAAATATACTGTTTCCTTACATACACTTATTGTAAATTGCTAGATGCATACTATAATATCATTGTTATAATATTAACAAAAATACTAGGTAGGTACAAGAATAAGATTTGTAAGGTTAGGATTTTATTCATAAACTTCTATTTATATATTTCTTAATAAACAATTGCTTACTCTTGGTAAATCTTTTATGTGTTTCAAAACATGTTCATATATTACATTAAAATATTATATTTATATTTAAACAATTCATATGAAAACCGTTATGTCTGGGATCAGACTAAAAGCCTATTTAGATATTGTGTGCAGGTGTTGCTAGCAAGTGGAAGGGGCAATGCAATTATTCAATACTACATGCAGTGTTTCCTTTCTTTCCTTTATTAAATATAATAATGTAATAAATAGTTCTCATTCATAAAATGTGTGAATAAAGATGTAAGCGAATAGTTAGAGGAAGTTTCTTCAATAGTGTTACGTACTGACGGGAGTGTATGTACTCTCCATAATGTGTGGAGTGACTTCTTCCCTTCCGAGATGTGCCGCTATAGTAGTATGCGTGAGCCGCCGCTGTTGTACCGCTGATGCCTAAGTGAGACTGGGTTGCTCCTACCTTTGTGTTGGTGCGTAAGAACTGCTGCTGTTGTATCTAAGCTTTCTAAAGGGGGACCGCTGCTGCTATCTTAGGGTCGGTGTAATCCATTAATATATGTAGTATGCTTCGATAATTTCACTCTTGATTAAGTTAGCACTATCGCGTTATTCGTTAAGCTTGATTAGCGGATTCTGAAATGTGCTTCACTATTGTATGGTCAAATTGCTTACTGTTTGAGCAATTACGTACGTGTGTATCTACAGTGAATGATGACTGTAGAAAGAAGCTTGAAGACTGAATAGTGACGACTGAATCCAAGTCGTAAAATATCTCTTAGACCGTTGTCGTCAGACATCTGGAAAGACTCAAGTTGTTAAGCATGTGCGAGAACCGTTGCAGTTAAACATCTGCGAAAAGCAGTTGTAGCTAAAACATCTGGGAAAACCCAGCACATTAGACAGCTGGAAATAGTCATGACACGTAAAATTTTCGATGTAACGATATTCAGCACATCCACTGTTGTCAAGTTTACCTATGCTGCCGCTCCTCTTTGAAGATAAGACTGAGCACCCTGATTGATGGCGCTTTTGCCGATGTGGCTACTGTCGAAGCCAAACTCTGTTTGAAGACGGATTCTGAAATCGGCGCGCTCTGGTTGGAGAAATCTAAGGCAGAGGCATTCCTTAAGCGGAGTTCCAGTGTCAGCGGCCTTAAAAGGGGTGACGACACAGATTCAAGGACTGTCTAAGTAGAGAAGCGAAAGATGTAGGAACAGGTTCTTACTGGTGATACTATAGCCATCAAGTTGTAAGTATCTTTGTAATTAAATGTAGCATACGTTCAATACATCAATAACGTAATTGCAAATAAAATATAATAAATTATATTTATCGAAGAAGACAACAATATTTCTACAGCCCTTCGACTTGACCCCTTCCCAAGGTTTGCTAGGGCGGGCGACAATTTTAAGCTATCGAAACATTGGCAGTTCGAGCCAGGAAATCAACAGTTTCGAACAGATTGCAATATATTTTTATTGGTCAAAAATGGATTTCTTAGATACTTAATAGTTCTTATATTTAGAGATAATTTTAACATTTTTTTAATTAAAAACATCGCTGCATGGATCGACAATTTTTCCTTGTGATGTCTTACAAAACTTACTTCTAACTAAGTCTAATTTACTTATTTCTCCTACAATTTGTCAAGATGGTAAAGATAATATTAGGCAAAAAATTAATTTATACCCACAGATTCTATGGTTTCCGATTTTCGCGTGAGCAGAAGTTTACTGGTTAGTCTATTGGTTTAGGATTATTTCTTTCATATTTATTGTAACCGTCTCCACATTGATAATTATTGTTATAGTTGGATCAGAGATCAACTTTTTATCAATCAGATTACTATTCCTTTTGTCTCTTCTTACTTATTTATGTGATAGGTATATGCTCGATTTACTTCTTCATTCAAATTTTGTATAGAGCTATAAAGTATATTTAAATATTTTAGTTATTTCCGTTAAATATTGTATGTATAAAATATAGTTGTGAGTTCTTAAGTTAAACATTAAAACTCTATTTATTAATATTATTGATCACTTCTATTACTATATATATTTGTTCGGGATTCAAAGAATTTCTCGCATGTTATCATTTTGGGAGAAAACCCCAACGACTATCATTTCATGAAAAACTTCAACGGTTATAACTTCTGGGAAAAACTCCAACGTCCGTTAGATATGCGCAAAAGCTGTTACATCTGAAAAAAAACAAGTGCAATATCTAACTGCAAGCAACGTGACAGAGCGCACAAGGCATTTGCAGGTAAAATATAACCATTGAACCTCACGCATAGTGCCCGAGAGCACGAAGCGGTTGCAGGTGACTTTCACTTACACAGTGCTAACACGCACTCACTCACACTCAGTGTTATCGCACTCTCTTTCACTCAGTTCCATCGCACATTCTCTCAAGGTATGCAACCTTTTCTTCACACTTCCACTCTATAAGACATCAAAGAGGAGACGACAATCAGGCAAGCACCAAGTAGCACTACACGAAGAAATGTCTAAGAATTTACAACTTCACACTTATCCGGGCAAACATCCACCACCAAACGCACCACGTCCAGCGGATCCGGAGATTTACGACCTCCTAGCTTGACAAGTAATGCATGCTGACACCACGTGGCAACAACCAAGGAACGGTAAGATCTCAGCGGTTCTTTTCAAAAACATAGAATCATTATTGTGTAGTTGTAAAATGAAACACAATAATAAGCACAAAAAGCAGATATGTTATATACTGAACTACCCCTTCCACTTATGTACACTTTTTCCCACCGGGAAACTAGTGGAATTTGAAGTTAACATATTCCCCTCGAACATATCAACAAGTTAAAGCACAAATGTTAATCTCTACAGATACGATTTGATCATAGTGGATCTCAATAGCAGTAAAACTTCATTTTTAATATTGTTTTCATGGATATATAAATTAATACATAGTTTTAGTTATATTTTTCTTTAATATTATACTCTTATTGTTTTGAGTTCAATATGTTTAATACTACTACAAAAATGCTTTTTGTTTTTTTTTTAATTTCAACAATCTTATTTTTTAAACAATTTTATTGTTAAGTCTATTAATATAGGTTTTTGGTTGGACCCAATTTACAAACTTCTAATTAGAGTTACGAAGTAATATGAAATCGTTTTTATAAGTAGTATAAAATAAATATATAATTATTCAACATTATTGTATTATATTTGTTTTTAACAAAATAAACAAAAAAATTTAGTAACGAAAATTAAATAAGGCTATTAAAAATATAACAATTAGAAATATAAAAATTTCAATTATTAATGACCATTCATATGTGTAGAGTAAAATAAGTTAAAAAATTATGTTTCCTTTAAAAAATTTTTATGAACAAATTAAAGAAATCTTATCATGTATTATATAATATTATTAGAATTTAATTCTAGTATAAAAATATAATCAAAGACATGAAAAATTAATATATTTACGGTTATTGATTATTTCAAACATATCTAAATTGTAACTAATAGATTTTATTTATAAAAAAAATTACGAACTCTGTAAAAATATTTATTGTATTAAAATAATTAATACAAATTCATGACAGTACGAATAGAAATTAATATTTATACGTAATGTGAATAGTGAAATCTTTTTTATAATTTAATGATGAGCCACTTTTTAAACATTAATTTTTAATTATAATATTAAAACTATTCAAATTTTAATAGGTTTATAATAAAACAACTATTTCTCTTTATATCTGAACAGAACAATGAAAGGATGCAAAGAATTAAAAAATACTTTTATAAAAATTACGTATTGTTTGGTCAAAATTAGTAAAAAGCCAATACTTAATAAATAGGCAACAAAAATGATTTGAAAATATTATCTTGTAATAAGAAAATATTGTTTTTTTATGACAATTGCATATATCTATAGTATTTAAAGACACTAATAAAAAAGAGTTATGAATTAGTTAGAATAATATTTAATAATAATGCATTTAGTAATTTTTTCATAATTATTACTTTTCCTATTCATTTTTTATTATTGAAATATTAAATTCGAAAAAATGGCATTTATTAAGTGAAATAGCTTCTATGTATATCCTATGTACTATATCCCATTTAATATTTAGAATATTAAGAAAAAATACTTTAAATGCTTCGTATGGGATCTATTAAATTTTAAACTAAAATATTTAATACTTAACATTTATTTATTTATTAATATTATTTTACAATAAAGTTTGATGACAATTTTAAATATATGATACTTTCAGGTATCTTTGGTAAAAACGTCAAATTTATTAAAGTATAGTCAAAATGAGATATTGAATATACATGTAAATTAATATATTAATACTGTATTATTTCAAAAGTTACCAATTTATACCAATATGGTATTGTACGCAAATATAAATGTAATATTAAGTATTCTGTTTGCCCATCAATAATTTTCTCGCCCTCGAGGCCCTCTTAATTGATCATTGTCTCTTCCACGACCACGATTATTGAAGTTATTTCGATTAGTGTCATTTGATGTTCTAATTATAGAAGTATTACGATTAGGTCCAGTTTTTCCTGAAAAACTTCCAAAATTGGAATTATAATTATTTGAAGTTCCACCAGATTGTTGAGTTGGACTTTGTCCTCTAAAGTTAGATCCACCAAAACTATTTCTATCAAAATTTGAATTTATTGGTCTAAAGTTAGGTGGTGGTCCAGAAAAGTTATTAAAATGCCCTTGTGTGGGAAAAAGGCTTAATTGTCGAAAATGAATATTTGGAGCAAAATTACCATTTTGTTGGGTCCTAAAATTTGTAGGTCCAAAAGTATTAGGTATTTGTGGCGGAGGGCCATTAGGCCGAAATGGAGGTGGTATATTGTGATGGGATATCATTTGGGATAAAGGACCTTCTATATTTGAATGTAAACTTATTTTGGAAGGATGTTGAGAAAGATTTGAATATGGAGAAATTCCAGGTGGTGGCATATTTGGATTAATATTTTGCATATTATGATGACTTGTTGAATGCGACAAACTAGTTCCATTATACGAATTTCCTGATATATCACGCTTATCAAAATTACCCTGGGAACTACTACCATCTATTTTTCTGGAATTACGATTCTCCTCGTCCCAAAGCAATCTATTCTCTTCGTCTCGCTGTGTGAATGTGCTTGTTTCGGAGAAAGAATTATGCAATAATCTAAAATCGTTATCATAAAAATTAGTTTTTAAATCTAATTCTTCATGTGATTCAGTAGATCTTCCTAATCCACTAGAATTAAGCCTCAAATCCTGTTCTTCAACTCTATTGCTTCTTACAACTTCTAACGGATTTCTCCTGTAATCTTCATTATAATTATCTGTATAATTATCTTTTAATAATCTCTCAGAGCTGCTACTTCCATACTTAAGATCACTATCACTTGTCTGTGAATCTTCTGTAAATGCTCCACTAAAAACTGGTTGATGAATTTTAGACATTCTATCAATTGAACCTCCATCACTCCACCCTATTAATTGATCAAATTTACGTTTCCCTCCTCGATTTAAGGCTTTTAGCAATTCAGGATTTTGAGCAAATTTTGAGCTTGCTAATGGAGCTGGCAAATCAATATCAGGAACTTTGGAATAATCAATTTCACCATCATCTAGAAGATAGTCTTCAATTTCTTCTTGTTGCTCTTGCAATTCTATAATATCACGTAATTCTTCGATTTCTCCAGATTGCACCAACTTATTTATAGCGTCAGCACCTTTGGATATAGCTTCTGCTAATTTAGATCCAGCTGAAATTAAATTAATAACATATTAAATAAATATTATTTAATTACAATTAAAGTATAATCGTCTAATTTATTTAATTATCAATGACATATTTCAGATAAAGCATAAAGATGGTAAAGATGTATAAGTATTATAAAAGAATCAAATAATAATCGAAGACTTTAATGTTTTAATAATAGCACACATAAATATTATCTATAATATAAAATTACACAAACGGGGATACAATATAGTTTTGAAAACTTAAAAAACCTTTATTAATTTTAATTTTCTTTTATTACAGCATCAATTATAAATTACTAGATTGAAGTGATTAAAAATATCATGAAATTAACTATTGCAGAATTCAAATATAGTTTTAATTGAAAGCAGATATTGAAAATATTAAGTTAAATATACATAACTTTCACTTAAATATTATGAACTAATAATTATATATATTTCACTAAAACAGTTCCGGATATTTAAGATATGAAAAATTGAAACTCAATTCCAATAAAAGATTCAACAAAACATTAATTTTTCTAAATATTTGTATTCAATTATATCATATTAACAAATATATTAGTTACTATAAAGGTTTAATTTTATGTAAAAATTATAAGCAATAAAAAATTCGTCTAAACAATAATTTTTAAAAGAATTATTTAATATTTTATTATTTAAAATATATTGTATATTATATAGTATCGTGACATTTAGAAAATTTAGCAAAGCGTTATTTTAATATTTATCATATATTAACTTCAAATAATATTATCATCAAATAAATATCATAGGATTTTTAGAAGTCACTTTAGTCAACATATCGGTATTTGTATTTATATGTAAAAAAAAGTACATAATACTTACAATTCTTTATTAACATTCATAATTCATTTTTTTTATTTTTGAGCTTCGAAATATTTTTCGAATATAATAAAAATACTCTTCTTTCTTTTTATGAATTAAATCTAAACTTTACATTACTATGTAATAATTTTGTATGAATAACATTTTTTGATTAATAATAATTAATATATTTAATGTGGTTGTGTATATGATATTCATCGAGTTTAAAAAAATAACTAAAATCAGTGAATTGGATAAAATGCGATTTTATCGAGGCTTAAGAACAAGCTTTTAAAATAAATTAATTTAATTATCCAATCAATGTAATAATAGGTAAGAATAGGTGTTTCACAGCAGCAAAAGTGAATCGAGATTATGCCATGAGTAATTTATATAATTCATACAAAATTTAATAAGATAAATTACAATCAATAAAAATTAAATAAAATACTAATCATTTATATTCTGGTAATATCTTATTTTAACCAACTAAATAATTAAATATATTTTAGCAAATACTATTATATAATTTATAATTTTATTAAAGTTTATACCATTGTATAATACCAAGATAATTAGTAGAAAAATTCCCATTATATGCAAATACCAAATATAATATTGAATATACATTTCAACATTTATTTTTTACTCTTTAAAAATTAAAGAATATCGATTACAATATATTTCTTGTGGTTTACAATACGAGTACTTATATTTTGGACAAAGTGAATTTAGTATATATAATACTTGTAAGTGTCTATGGAATTTAAAACTTGATTTCGGTAGTAAATAATGGGTAGTGAACTTAGGCTTTCTGTAAACTTACATCGATAGCGAAATGTTTATAACCCTTTGCTAGTAGATAGCAGACTAATTTTAAAAATTAATTTTTATATAATATTCAATGTTTTTTAATTGGAAGCTTTAGAATTTGTATCATCTTTTTGATTTCGATTAGTGCATCAATAAAAATGTACATTGACGATTTGGTCTTATAATTATATTACAATTCTGTTCGACACTTCGAGAATCTTTCGAATGTTATCATTTCGAGAAAAACTTCAACGGCTAACATTTCAAAAAAACTCCAATGATTACAATTTCTGTGAAATTTTCCAACGGATGTTGGAAGTCCGGAAAACCAAGTGCACAATCGCATCCTTATTGTCACCGAGCACAGCTGTCGCGTGAATATTTAAGGCAATCGCACACTCTCAGAACAGTCGCTATGGAAGGTACACTCAATGGCTTCATACTAAGGAGAATCTCATACATAGTGCACGTAGCTGTATGCCTTTCTCACCCTTGCACACTACAAGACAGCTTGGAGGAGACCAGCAATCAAGTTACGACCACGTGGTCCTACACGAAGAAGTGTCAAGAGATTTTCGACCTCTCACTTTTTGTGTAGTATTTCACCACCAAGCGTATTGTATCAAGACAATCCGGAGATTTACGACCTCCTAGCTTTACAAGTAGTGCATGCTGACACCACGTGACAACAACCAAGAAACGGCAAGATTTCAACGATTCTCATCAACGTAGAATCATTATATTGTAGATGTAAAATAAAGGAAATACCAAGCACGAAAAGCAGATGTGTTAAATACTGAATTGAAGCGCTACCCCTTCCACTTGCCCACATTTTTCTCTCACCAGGCAACTGGTAGCCATAGTCTAAGTTTAAAGAAATTCTTTAATAATGTTACATGTATATGTATTCATTTACATGTGTATTCATGTACACAGTCTTTACATATATGCAAAGCTATTTTCACTCTATTTTTACCTGGTCACAATACAAAATGAAAATTCTTATAAATATTGATATTAATAGTACATCAACATTAATCTTTTAATTAAGTACATTAAGTTACATAGAAATTTCTGAAAAATATATAAATAATTTAATATTTAATGTTCTGTAAAGAAAAAGTAATAGTTTAGTAAAGATGTTTTAATAGGTAACAAATATCAAAATATTAACAAAGTAATACAATTAAAAACTAAATAAATTTTTGTTTTACAGTCAACATACTGAAAAATTTACTTTCAAAATTTTCCTCCCAATAAATCTCAAATACGAATATAAAATTATTAATAGATTGTTAATTATAATTAAAAGGAAATGTATTATAAATATTGAATAAATTATTTAAAAATTAATTTATTTAATAGATATCTGATTTTCTGTTAAATAAAATAAATCTTTCTAAAAAAGTTTTTAACTATTAATAGTGTGAATAAATAATTTACAGTGAGTTAACTTACATTCAACAGGAATCATTTTTCCATATAAAATAATCGCATTAGGTGTTACGTCATTCAGAGGTACTGCACCTGGCGTCGTTTCAATCAACTGATTAACTATAGCATTTAATGCCTCAACCTGTTCCAAATCTTCAGCTTCCATTTCATTCCACTGAGCTTGGAAATTGCGCGGTATTGGTTTACTATATGGTACTTTTTTACTTGCTAATTTTTTACTCTCATCAATGCTATGATCAAGGTCAAGACCTGGTATTTCACCATGTTTATCCTCTTGCTCGCCATCAATATTTATTCGATCTTCGGGTCCCATCCCAGGAATAACTGCTGCTTCATCGGCTATTTACCGAATTAAAAATTAATTAAACTGTTTATACTTTAATGCATAAAATATAATAAATGCAAAATATTAAATAACCTACCGACTTCGTGATCATCAATTCCACCTGCTCCGGCAGGTAATGTATTGAGATTATATTTATCTCTCATCAAATCACCAGGCCTATTTCTGGTCCAAAATTTCGAGGTATGATCATTGCTACCTGAGCATAATATATGACCAAGCGGATGCCAAGCTAAAGTCCAAACTATACTATCGTGCGCTTGCTCTATTGCACCCACCTCTTTATCCGCACTGTATTTATAATAAAGAAAAATGAAGATAATAAAAAAATTAATTTTAAATGTTACCAATTTAAATAATGATACTAATTGAATATATACCCAACATGCCAAAATAGAATAGCTCCATCACTTCCGCCACTACAAAATAGACCTTCATGACTTGGATGCCATGCAACACTAGAGGCCTCCTTCTTGTGTCCTCGAAATGTTTGAACTTCTTGACTTAAATTTCGTAAATCAAAAAGCTTAAGTAAATGATCACGAGATGCTGTCACAAGCCAATTGCCATTTTCATTCCACTTAACATCCATGACTGTGGATTTGTGTGCATGAAGTGTAGCTAAAGAATGACCACTTTTTGGATCCCAGAGTTTTACTGGTTGCTGGTTATCTTTACTACCCGAAATAACAAGACTTTTTTGAGGATGCCAGTGGACACATTTAACATCAGCTCCATGGCCTAAAATTAATGTATAAATAAATCAATTAAAACAATATTTATATAGTACAATATACCTCGTAGAATTCGTTCTTCATGGCAACGTAAAAAATCCCATATTCGTACAGTACCATCGTCACTGCAAGTAGCCAATTTATGATCTGTTGGACTGAAACTATATACCAAAAAACATACAGTTAAATTATATAATTATAAATTCTGTTTTTTTTGTTGTATTTAATATTTCAAGAAATTTAATATAAATCTAACAATGATTAAATGTATAAATTTTATTTCGTTTTTAGTATAAGCTTTAATGAAATTTAATTTTTATTTCAATTTAATACTCAATAATATATACACATGTGCAAGCTGCACATACACACACACACAAATTATATATTTTCTGTACATATAGTTATAACATATACTTATAATACATATACTTATAGTTTATCAATAGAATAGCTTAAAAAAATGAATAATTTTCCTTAAGCTATGATAAAAAAATAGTCTTTTCATTAAAATATAGTTTGCTTTGACAATATTAAAAATTAAATTAAAGAAAATTAAATATCAATACCTTAGTCCCCTAATTGCTTCTTTGTGTGCTTGAAACATTTTAACGTTATTCATATTACTTTGCCAATACTTAACATATCCTGCATGGTCACCAGTCACCATCCAGCTTTCATTATGTGACCATACCATTGTTCTAACAGGGCTATCATGGGCCTTGAACAATAATAAGTACAATTTTATATAATTTATAATTTTATTTTAATTTATTTAATTTACATGGATTTGTAATACAATTATTTATTTAGTATATTGGCTAAATTTTGTAATCACTAGCATATTTCATATAATTTTTTTTCGTTTTTTATTATCATTGATTATGAGACTTCTGCAAAGATATAACCTTCTGAAATATCACCTTTAACATGGTAGACAAATATTCTATTATTTAATTATGTCAAATATCATGTAAGTTGTGTTAAAAAATTTAATTAAATTCATTTTTAATTTAAATCAGCGATAAAGTGTATATTGTACACTCAATGCTTGTTTCCTTTTTGTTACTTATCACAAACCTTTTTCTAAATAAAATTTTCTTATTTTTTTTTTTATTTTTTTGGGTTTACCTGGTAACTACGCTTGTTCATACTATATAACCATATTTAAATTTTCAATGTTTTATATAATCTTGATTGACTTACATGCCATTATTTTAAGTTAAAATAAATCTGCTATTTAAAGTTTATAAATTCTGTGGTATTCATAAAATTCTTTATTTTAATTTATTATTTTTCTATGTATTTATTATATTCTCTCAATATTACAGAACATTAAAATAATATCGGAATATTTGAAACACCAAAAAAACAAATAATTAAATTGGAGTGTTACAACACTATTCAAAAAACTTTTTTGTCATTTAATATTTTTAACATTCTGATATAATTATGATATCTTGAAGTAAAAATATATAACATTTTTCGTTATTATTTGTTAATTTATTGGGTATATAAAGATAGTTATTTTGGATTAATTGGCAGTATTAATGAAATCATAAATGAAATCATCTACATAAAATATCTAGCCTTATGTGACAGAGGTTACCTGCTAAACTACTTATTTTTTAAAATACTTTTTGGCATATATAATTTGCTTGATAGTACCAATAGTTTTTCATTGTTCGTTCTTTCCTTCTTTTTCTTGTAATTCCCAATAGTCTTACTGCATTCTTATAAAATATATACTTCAAGCGTCATTATATTTTCATTTTTCCTTACTTTTTTCTAATTGTGTTTTCATAATGTGTTACTACTTTCTTAATAAAAATTATATACAAAAAAATTCTGGACACAATATAGTGCTCCATGGTTACAGTATATATGATATTATTCAACAAATTATTTCTATACATATACTGAGATGAGTTATTTTTTAGTTTCATTGGGACAATTCCATATAAAAGATGTTTCTCTTTTTTCGTACATATTATTTACTTTATAAATATTACATTCATTTTTATTTTATTCTTTACATGATTTACATTAAATAGTTTAAATTTAAAACAAAGCATTAGACTTAATAACTTAAAAATTAAAATAATACTTTAAAAATTATATCTAATATAAACTAAATTGATAACTGAAAATATTTTCTTTAACTACAATTTAAAATATACAAGATAATACTTGCAGTATAACTTACTTGAAGTATAGTTTCAAAATTAAATGTCAGACCATTCCATAATGTAAATTCTCCACTAGAAGCTCCTGTTACTAGACGTCGTCCTTCAGGTGTCCATGCCATACAAAATATAGGACATCGCATTTTATTCGTTGCAGTCTTTACAAATCTAGTTGTCACTGCATTTATTGGATTATCAATATAACTAGGAGGAGGTAAAAGATCGGGATAATATATAACGTCTGGTTGAAGAGCTCGTCTATCCCTATAATCACGTTGCCAAATTCGATTCTGAAATTAGTGTTAAATATTTCAAAAAATTATTAATAAATTGAACAAATATATCTAAAAATTCACCTCTAATGTCTTAATAATTGATGAATTATAATCAACAGTTTTACGCATTACTGATTTCCGTAGTCTTTTGCCATCAAATTCATCTTGTAAAGTTTCTTGACTACCGGAAATCAATTTAGGAGCATGATATGGTCTGAATGGTTTGAAAAATCCTCGATTTATCTCTCTGTGATTAGGATAACGAGATTGATAATTTGGTGATGTATTTATCATTGTTAATGCTGGAGGTGGAGCAGAAAAATTGGGAGCCGCTGGTGGTGGAACCGACATATTTGGAAGACTAATAGAAGGAGGAGGATTTGTAAAAGCCGTATTTAACGACATGTTAATATTATAACTATTTAACTTTTATTTTCTAGTAGTATTGAATATTTTCAATAATTCTAAGAATCCTGAAATAAAATATTTAATTACAGACAAATATTATATACAAGTACATTGTTTTTTATGACATTAATCTTACATAAAAAAATTGTGTAATTGCATTTTAATTTTAATTTATAATTTCAAGAAAATTATTTAAACTTACGTAATATTAATATTATAAATATACATTTTAAAAATCGTAAGTTATTATAAAAAAATTAATTCATGTTAAATTAGATTTTTGTATTTGCATTCAATTAAACATAAACACACAAATATTTAATATAATGTTATGTTGATATATGTTTAGCAAGTTTAAATAAAAATAAAATACAAAACATTGTTAATTACATTTTTATTATCCATATCAATTATTAAGTTTTAATTCGGTTATTTTTTTGTACGTAAATAAACACATATGTCTGTACAATTTAACGAATAATGTAGTAATTAAAATATATATTGGACATTTAATAATTTTTCAATTTATATAAACGTTCTTTTAGATCAAGCAATTGTCATTGCTGACATTTTATTTGTATTTATAAAGATTATACTTTCAATTTGATTTAAACTGAACTAGTTTTATGAATTTTTTACAAAAATTATATAGAAAAAGATTTATGTAACACTGTTCTGGAATTCTCAACAATTTTTTATTAGTGCTTAAAATAATAAATATTTATATAAGATAACTAAAATTTATGTTGCATTCCAATTTTCTAAAATTTGTTTAACAGCAATTATATTTGTAATCTTAAATCTATTCTAATTTTATTACTGTGTATCCAAAGATAAATCAACAGATTTTATAGAGAAATTATTTAATTTCATAGTTCTACCAACGATAAGTTAAAGAATATTTAACAAATTTTTATAATTTTAGCAAGGAAATATTGTTTTAAAATTAGATTGAAAATACTTATTTAAAATTTATTATACAAATATGTATGTAAACATACGAGTAATGTTAAGTACAAGTTATAATAGTTAAAAATAATTAAACGTGATAAGTACTCTACTACATAGTAATTACAGTTAAGCCAAATTTACGGATAAATGACTGTACATAACCTCTATTTAGGAAACAAAGTAAGCTGAGATTACAATTCCATAAGTAATTATAGTATATACAGACTGAGAGAATTAATGATATCGAAGAGGTTAAAATAGATTTCCAATTCTATACGTAACACGTATAATAACAAGGACTACAGAAAAATATACAGAGAGAGAAATATGAAATCGCGCAACTACAAAGACTTACCCTAATTTGAATCATGTCAAGGCAGAAACATAGCATAAGAACACGCAATATTTTCTAATCGTTTTACACTATTTCAGACTTGTTATAAAATTATGCTCTTTCTTTTCAGTTATCCTGCTAAAAAGTTTTATTTTTACCATAATTAATTGCGTTCTTACTTTTTTTTTACACAAGATACAAGACTTACATCTTTTATCTAATCTCCAATATCCTAACTCATGCTTCATTTTTATCTGAATAGACAATTTAATATTATGCTTAAATTAATTTTTATATTTTATAGCCATTAATTTTGACATAAAAATAAACTATTCCAGCTCCAGTAGCATATTATTTACTTTGCAATTAAATATGCTTAAAAATTTAATGTTAAACTTTTAAGGATAGACAGGAACACTTCATTCATAAGAATAATTGAATTATATATACACATACAGAAAAATTACCTATGACACTGTTAAATTCAAATTAATTATATAGTTTAGGTATATTCAATTATTTTATATATGAGGCAGATTAAAATTGTAATGATTTGTACATTAAAGGTCACTTTAATGAAAAGTATAAACAAAAACTATAAACAAAAATTTATAAATATTTCTAAGAAAAGATTAACAAATAATATCTATATATAGTTTTTTATTGGAAGAGAAATTAAAAGATATTTTAATTTAGCGTAAATTAATCACAAACATTTGCACATCATTAGAAAATGCATTCGAATTTATGAAATGATATATGAAGATAAAATAGTGTCATATATAAATAGCAAATATAGAAATGTAAATTATAAATATTTTTATCAGAAACAATAGACACTATATATATAAGAAATTTTAATGTTCTACTTTATAGATTATAATAAGTATAATCAAATAAAAATTTTTCTAGATTTTAATACTATACTTACAATTACTAATTTGATAAAAAATTAATACTAATTAGGATTAATACAGATTAAAATATATTATAAATTATTCATGAAATAACAGTTCACATTATTTGTACAAGTTACTGCTTTGGGAGAGATAACACCATATTGTAGTTCTCATGTAATTTATGTAATTATAACTTATTATTTTATTATATTTAACATATACATTCAGTTCACTTTTCATTGGTAATTTTTATAATCAACCAATCGATTATTGATAACTTTTATTCATTTACTTAATATTGATTTATTCATATTTCATAAAGTATATTAAAGATAATAACTGAATACCTAGTTAATGTTCGATCATTAATTAGTGAGCAAAATTCATCATTAGTTAGTGATGAATAGTACATTAGTTAGTGAGCAATAACAGTATGATTTTACATGAAATTTTATTACCTTAATGAATCAACAATACTTTTTCACAAGTGCATCAATTGACTTCTATATTTTATATTAATGAAAAATCTTGCTTCATTAGAAAAATAAAAATTCAATATTCTATTTATTTTTATATTTGGCTATTTCAGATAAATAGTAAGGTGTATCTTTAATAAAAGGTCAGCTAGATTTTAAATCATTTCTATATGAATAAATAAATAATAGCATTACCTTCCTTAGTGTTTTAATATATTTGAAATTCAGTTAAATAATTGTTCAATTTAATTAATTATAAGATTCAGTTTTTTATTCTTTAGTATTTTATATTTTTGGGGTATATTAAAAAAATTATTCATAATTTATCAAAAATTTGTCTGTTTAAAAATATATACTTTTTCATATGGATTAAAAGTTCTACATTATAAATTTTACTTCTCACAAAATAATATATTAATATAATTAATTTTTCACTATTCAATATTTTTAATAAAAGAAAGATTATATTTTTTCTTTATTCTATCAAAGTTGAGAATTGATACATAATATTTTTATATTCTTTAAAATACATATTAATTATATATTTTGAAATGTATTACAGTGAAAGTTATATTTTTAAATATAATTATTATATAAATCTATAAAAATACACATTTGTTATATTTTTATTAATAATTTATTAAAAATTTAATTAAAAATTCATTAGTAATATATTTTATTGATGCACTTACAAATGATATCATTTAAAAAAATATATCATTCTACGGATCATATTTAAATTATTTAATAATTATTTTTCATCTTTATCTATTTAAAAATTGATTACATTAACTGATTCATGACTATAATATTACAATAGAAATCAATAATTATATTAACAAGGCTTTTTTATAAATTGTAATTAAAAAGTAAAATAATGTAAATTTAATACGTCGGTATTATAAAGATATATTAATTTAATATCAATCTATAAATTAATATTAATAATTTATGATTTGTTTAGAAACAAGAAATTTTATTTTATACTGCAGAAAAATGTTTTTTTAACGTGTGCAACATCTTCACTAAAATAAAAAGAAAATTAATCCAAAATTTTTAAACATACAATTATAATTCTTTGTAATTCAATAAAGAATGTTGTTATTTTAATATTTATTATAAAATTCAAACTTATAATATTAAATAACTCGTATTAAATTATCGTTTTTGTTTAATTAAAATTATTAGAAATAATCTATAGTCTGTACAATAAGATACTGACTGGTTTGATTATTTTATTTTATATCTAAATATTTGTAGGTTAGATCAATAAGTAGTCGCATTTATCGTTTCAATTCATTATAAATAATATATATATATATATATATATATATATATATATATATATATTTAAAAGACTCAAGAAAAACAATTTAAAAAGTACTTGCTCTAGATTCACCTCTTCAAAAATAAAAGGTGTGTTAGAATTGATATAAACTCATTTGATAGAATGAAAAACAATTATAGGGCATTCAAAATATAACTTTCTAAACCAATGTGTGAATACTTTAAGTAAATAATTATTATATGGACAATATACTCATAAAATTAACGAAATAACTATAAATATTAAATGTCAGTTATACATAGTAGTATAATATTATTAATCTTATGTGTGATATTTTCAAGACTATAATAAAACTCGAATCATTTAAGTAGGCATATCGATATAAATATGATCGTTGTACCAATTGTTGCACTTTAGCGGCAAAATTGAATTTAATAATTTTTAATTTAATTGAAGAATTTTTATGACATTAAAAACAATTAGCTTCATACTGAGTTTCGTTTTAAAATTATAAATAATAATTAGGTCAAGTGACGAACTGAAATAATAAATATATCATTATCATGATAAATAGCTTTTGAAAATAAATCTAGAAAACTTTAACAAGTTAATCTTGTGTCAGCATAAAGTATTTACAAATCTGACACTTAATAGAAAAGTAATTGGCGAATTAAAAAAAACTTTTGAAAATTCTAATGTGATAGTTTTTATATTTTTCATATTTTATTATCTTATAGGCAATTTTTCTATTGTATTTTCTTATAGATATATTTTTATTATCATAGTAATCGACACTCGTAAATTAATTTATTATATTATACAATAATTTATATTAAAATCTTTGTTATAATTAAAAATTTAATTTTGCCTTATTTATTAATCTTGTACTCGTTATTCTAATTTAATTCAAGTACAAATATTATATACGATAAATTCCGAATAAATATATTATTTTGCAGGATAGAACTTGATCATCTAAAATTAATAAATAAAGTCAGTAATTTATAAAAATTGAATATTTTTATGAAAATTCATCTACAAAATAAAAATGTAAGAAATATATGAAACAAACTAGACAATTATAATTTTTATGCTTACAGCATATATCTCAAATTAAATAACTAAACTTACTTAAATAACTAACTTTCTTTAATTTTGAAATAGATTTCTCTACTTATTCGTGCTTTGTAATAAATTAATTAATTGCATTTCAGTTATTACTGCGTAATAATATTTTCCTTCAGCAATATTCTATTTTATAGTTCTAAAAAAATTTATTCCAAAAATGAAATGTTAGAAAATTTTGTGCAAAATGTATTCGCCGATCCGGCATGTTTTACCAAGGCTGGTTTGAAGGATACAAATTGCCGTTGACAACTCAGAGACCATGGGCGTTGTGTGGTAGCAATGGAAGATCACAAGTGGAAGGGATATTATAATAATACAATATAACTATGACTGATGTATATGCTGTTTATTCTGTTATTTATTGATGACAAGGTTGACTAGTATTACTATTATTAATTATTGAAATAACTCTTGGGCTGGATTGATGTATTTGCATGTGGCAAACGTATACTCAAGCGTGTTGGTTTGAACATGAGCGCAGAATGGTGCGAAGTTTCGTTCGTCGACACTCGCGCTGTTTGAATGAGCACGCGCGTAATTAAGGTTATGATTTTTATGTAGCGCGACACATGTAACTGTTGTTACGTGAAAGATATACTCGTATCGTAGCAAGCGTACCTTGTCCTGATATTGGCGTACTGCAATAAATTCAGATGGAAGTAAGAGTTTGTAGGGCTTGCACCTCATGGATACTGCTACTCGTCGTATCTTCTGCGATCGTTGCATGACATGCTGTGGATTAGTAAGGCCAGCAAGTCTCGCGTCAGATGATGTGACCTTGACGACGCTTGGAATTATTCCGCACTATCACTCTGGTGACAGCCTCTTCTTCTTGGTTTATTGTCGATGACGTATTCTGAATATTAAGTTTTATTTAATTATTGTAGTGGTGATACTACTTACGAAGACTAATCGTCGGCTTGTCTTCGGACTCCGATAGTCGGATTGTCGTCGCTCCCTTTGAACTTGTAACGACAGTTTCTTGAACTGCGTTAATGGACATATGAGGATATGTCGTTGTTCTTCTAGGACGTTAACTACTGTTGCCTTGAACAGCGTTAATGGACTTCCACTTGACACTTATTTGCATAAGTACCATATTGAGAGTATTTTAATCTTGAAAAATGCGCCCCTTAAATACATTTG